AGCCTCAGCTGAAACAGTTTAAAACTTAAGAGAAAACTACAGATGTGATGCACTTTAGATAAAAAAAAGACACCTTTTATAGCAGTTAGCTGTTGATATTTTGATCGTATAAACAGCTTTTCCATGATGCAATAAAGGGTATCAATAAAACATCACAACTAACTAGTATGGCTAAAGAAAAGTGGTGTTGGATTATAAGCCCGCCTCCACTGCACTGTGATTGGTCGGGTTCGTTTTAGACCAGAGAGTCTATAACCTCCAGTATGTTGTTCCTGGCTGACTTCTCCTGTCTTTTTATTAGAGCAGCAAACAGAATAGTTTTACAGAGAGAGGAGACTTAAAGAGTCTGGAAAACCCTCTGGACAGCTGTTATAGTTTTCCTAAAAAAACATTTAAAAGCAATGGAAACCAAAGCAGAGGTGAAAGAGCGCAGCTGAAAGGGTTTTACTGATGCTCCGCCTGTTCTACACCTAAAATAGTTACTCAAGTCATGAAAAAAGTGTTTTCATTAAGATGCAGACAATGTTGAAAGTCTTTGCACTTAATCTGGATTAAATCCCTTTTAGTGCGGTGAGAGAGCTTAATGTAAATGTTTGATAACTTACTGTAACTATCTGGATGGGGTTATAACTGATCCGTGATTCAAGACAACATTTGGCACATTTTAGCTTAACATAAATATAAATGTGCAAAAAAAACAGTTATATGATGAACTAACATGTTAGGATTTGCTAAAAAATTAAATAAATGGTTATTAATCATAATTAATTTGGGACAAAAAGGAGATATTAGAGCCATACTGACGGAGCAGGTCTTAATCCAAAGGCCTTCATAGTTTGGGAGGTAATACTTTCTCATGGGTTGATATGGAAACCTGAGTAGCTCCAGAGGAACAGTTACCACGGAGACAGTCCCAGGTATTAACTATGATTCAACTCTGATGAAAAGGTCAAACTGAACCTGAGGTCGCCTCAGTAAAGCCACTAATCCTGTTTTATAGCCCGGTGCTGGATTAGCATTCCTGTACCTGCTGCTCTGTTTCCGGAACATTTCTAAACGGCAAAACAATTCATGCTGCAAATGCCTGGCTTCTATTTCACATAGCAGGGTTAGCGGCAATCCACAGTAAGTTCTGGGGTGCTTTCCTGCCTACCATGGCTTTTTCCGTTTTAGAAAGCTAGGAAGCCATTATCCTGAGTAGAACTATGGCCGTTTCTCAATGTTTACTTGTGCATTCTCGTGTCCTCGTGAAACGTCATCAGCCTCAGCCCTAGTAGCTACTATTCCAATTCATAAGAACAGCAGACCGAGAACGGACAAGGTCCCCGGACGTTGTTCTCACAGCTCACTCTTTACCCAGCATGCACCAGACCAGACTCCGTTCTTGAGATTGACAGCTTGAGATCGTACCTTATATGGGGCCCACTCAGATAATGTTGCTTGAGTACTTATTGTTGTGTTGTTACACCATTGGCTCTGATGGCAAGTTTTATTTGCCAAAATGTTAATTTGATTTTTGTTTATCTGATTGTGTTAATTATTATTCCCTGACTAAATGAAAAAAGTAAGAATTTATTATTATCTAGAGACTATAAATAACAGGAGGTGAAATGCAGCTCCAGACAGGCCGAGCGTGTGGTGATGTCATCAGTACGCTTCTGTTCCAATTCACCCATATATGCTGTGTGCTCCCGTTCTCCCAAAGTCCAGGCTCTCCTGTGTTCTTCTCAAGAACACACTTGGCGAGGAAACGAGTTCGTACTTGCGTTCTAGTGAATTGAGAAACAGCCCTTGTTTGGAAAAAGCAGTGTTTCCTGCTTTTTAGCTGTGATCTGCACAAGGAAGTGTTGGAAATGGTGTGTCCCTTTCTGGAAGGACTTGTTGCATCTTGATATATTTTCTATTTAAATTTTAAATCCATGTCTAAATATATCTATATTTATTTGTTCAATCTAATTCTACATCCCATATCTATCTATGAATGTCACATTTATTTCTAAATCTTAAATGTATATTTAAATGTAAATCATATAAAGACATCTTGAATCAAAATCAAGATCAGTAGAAGACTTTGAGTTTAAAACTGAGTCCAAAGCATTGAGACACCGATTTACATTAAATGTTACCATAATCCAAGACAGATCAAAAGGAAACACTTAGGAGGTGTTAAGAGGCTTTTCTTTAATAAAAGAACAAAGTTTAACCTAAAGTTTAATCTTTTTAGCCAAATTTTGAATATGTCAAAATCAAAGATAGGGACTGGTCAATAATTAATCCCAAATATTTATAAGGTAGTTTACAGACACTTTGTATCCATGCCTGTAAAAGAGAGAACAGATGGACTTTTATCTTTAGGTGGTTAAACGCAAAGAAAGAACATCAGTTTATTTATTTTAGAATTGAATCCCATTAATAAAGCGTTATGAAATTTAAAATATCAAATTCAGACTATATATTAGTTATTGTCTGATCTAATGTAGAACCAGGGCAAAATAGAACAGTATCATCAGCATAGTGATGATTAGAATCATAATTGGTCATTCTGGAAGTCCGACCTTTGCATTTCCAAATTCTCCCGAGTGGTGCACGACTTTACGCGAGTGAATAAAGTGAATGTGATTGGTCGTTTATCAAGGGGGCGGGATTGTTGTGGCGTAAGGTTCGCAAGCATGTTTGGTTGTGGATGGTTTGTGGGAAGCATCTTGCTAACCAGTTAGCAACTTAGTGCTAGTAGGTTCCCATTGGGAAATTCCATTGGGACCAAGTAGCACTAAATTGGTGACTTAGAAACAACACTGTCAAGGAACGCTATGGACAGAGGAAACATGCAAGAGGAGGAGAGTTTAGTGTCGGAGGTCGTGGATGGCAGCAGAAGCTTGGTTTGGTGTAGAAGGCTTACAGCCGTACATTTTTGAGCCCTTGCCTCGCAACACTGCCAGTTCTGTTAGCTCTACGTCTGCTGAAGATACAGACGTCCATCCATGAACACTGGGACGGAACTCAATGGGAAAGGAAATGATTCTTGTTTCAACTGTTGCGTATATTAGCTGCGACATATGAATCAAGATGCCATGAGCGAAAACATTTGATTGGCAGATGACCGTTGATATATTATTGGCTGAATTTAGGTGTTCAGGCTGACGTACAACTAACTGGCCTGCAGACGATAACAGGGAAAAAAACACAGATTTTAAGAAATGTTCTTAAGTTTGGGACAATATTGTCTGTTAAAGAGTATATTTATATACATGTTTAAGCCAGAATGATTTGACATTTAAATATAATTTCCCTACGACTTTAAGTACTCAGAAAAGTAGCCGATCGCAGGCGGTTTACAACCTCTGGGGGATATTTTATGGATGTGTTATAATTAGGGTTGTCACGATACTAAACTTTTCAACTCGATACCGATACTAAGGAAAATATTCGATACTCGATACCATTTTCGATACCACAAGGATAAAATTTCAACAGAAATATTTTTGATTAATAATTAAGATACAATAAATAAATACAATAAACAATAAGAACAACATTTTGAGGTTGTTTGCTGTGCACAGTATTTAGCAAGCTTGATAAAAAACTTACAAAATTAAAATTAAGTTTTCCTTACTTGGCTTTGCCTTTCACACATAACAATGACACTAGCCAAACCGGTTAAGAAACAAAAATATTTCTCAGCAGCTGCAACTGTTAAAAAAAAGTCTGAAACTGAAAAGTGCACAGAATTATTCAATCACAGTGTTCAGAAAGTGCATTTTCCTCTATTTTGCACTTTAGATGAATGACTGTTTAGGTGCGACTGGTACTCAATACTTTTGAAAATGAGTATTGTATCCGGATACAACATTTCAGTATCGATACTTTTTTGAGTATCGATACTTTTGACAACCGTAGTTATAATAGGGGCGCTGTGGTACAGAATCTGCACAGTAAAACATTGAAAATGTGCCTGTCTGAGTGGTTTATGTGGGTGCAAAGGACATCAAAAAATGCCTCTTATGAGTATTTTTTCTGTGTTTGCCCCCTTTACCAGAAGTCCGCCCTCGCAGTGAAAGCTTTACTTTCATGCAGAAATGGTTCAATAGATGGAAAATGACCTTTCTACTGACTTCACCTCAGCAGAGAACATGAGGTCAGATGATCTGAACCCGTCTCTGCTGCTGAGCCTGATTTCATGTTCAGGTCTGCAGGACAGAGAGTTCAACATTCCTCACAGGGTCAGTTTAATGAGACTTCTATCCCTCACCCACAGAAAATAGACACTTTAACACCTCTGGAGGCTACAATATAAAACTATCTTAGCACCAGGACCCTGTGAAGCACTAATCAGCTCTACAACCCCAAATCAACAAGCTGCAAGTTATTCGTCTTATTCAAATGCCTTTCTGCTGATGTTTTCCCCATCACTGGATGGAACTGCAGCTCTGTGTGCCAAAAGGTTTTTTTTTTTCTCTTAGACTAATCTCCTCAACAGATTCCATTGAGGCTCAAAAGCGCAAATCAAACAGCTTTAGACAAAAATACATCTGCAGAGAACGACGGGAAGCAGAGCCTGGCCAAGGTCTGCAGAGAGCTGCAGAGGATGACAGGTGTTCAGGTACCAACATGTTCCTGGATGGAAACAGGACCACAGGAATGAGTCCCAACAAGATCGCTCCAGGAGTTCTTAGAATCCGGGGCAAGGAGAAGGTAAGCATGTTGAAAAAAAATAACAAGTGAGGAAGAGAGTGGGATTATACGGGCTGGAATATACAATTGTAACTAATCCAGAATAATTCATTTTAAATCCACTCCATCAGGATCAAAGATCATCTCAAATGATAATAAACAGCTCTGATTGGTTTCAGACTTTAAAAGTTTCCACATTTTATAACAACCACAAAACTCAGCCTGTTTAGTTGGGATCAATGTAACAGACAGTAGAACAATAATGTTTTTATGATATTAGAGAAGCTAAAATGCAATAATTTGGGCAGTTTTAGAATCTATAGTGAAACATCTATAAGCTCAAAACATCATAGAAAAACTGTGAGCAACAACATTAGACTAAATCCAACAGCTTTATTTATAGAAATTAACTTTTACTGTGCAAAATAATAATAATAAAAAATTTTTTTTATTGCAGAAACTAAAATTAATATGTTTTTCTTCAGTTTTTGGGGATGTTTTAAGTCTTTAGTTTTGTATAATCATGTAAAGTCCACTGATGCCTCTCAAGACTTTCTTTGTTTGGATTTTAGTTCATAAATGTTTTTTTGTTTTGTTTTTTTCTCCCCACAAATGTTCCCCTAAAACCATTTTCAAGGGAAAGTTGATTTAAATGTAAAAATCGGTTTAAAACTTTTCCACAGCGTCTTTGCAGGAACAATCGCAGCAACATGAAGCCAGACTTTGCTATTCTGAGATATTTGGAGAAAAAAGGGTAACTTTCAGAGACATTTTGCTGCTTTAAAGTGTTCAGTCAACAGCTTTTAGACGCAGCAGTGAAAACAAAGCTCATTTCTCCTGCAAACACACAGCAGATCAGACTCACTCTAGATGAAAAACACTTTTCTAAAGCAGGAAAAGTGCAGATTAAATGAAAGAAACAAAGGGCTCACCTTAAACTTCTTTGGGTCGCTGTTGTTCTCCTGCTCTGCTCTGCAGGATGAAAACCATCTGTTCCAGCTCTGATCTCTACTCAAAACATTCAGTCCCATAGTTTAGAGACAAACACTTAAAGGTTAGGAAGGAGGAGGAGACAGAGGAAGAGGAGGGTATGTCGCCCCCTGGTGGTTGACTGAGAAACTGCATTTCCTCTGTGCATGACTCCAAATACTTTGAGACCAACGCTTCCAACTATTTGGGGAATAACTAAACAGTTTCTGACAAATTCCAAACTGCAGATACCCAGCATACAAAGGAGGGACATAAGAACAAAAAGTCCCAGACTTAAAAAAAAGATGGTTATTTGATTATTTAGAGCAACATTTTCTAAAGGATTCAGACAAAGCAAAGCAAAGGGACTGTGTGGGAAACATCTTGGATGTCTAAAGTTTATACATGAAGACAGAAATGCAGAAATAAAAACACCCCAAAGTTCCCACAAATGCAAAGCTGTACAAATAGAAAACATAAAATAAAAACAATGCTGACCTTTGATGCCTACCTTCTGAGAATGAAACAGTAAAAAAGATCCATGCAAATGCTTCCCCCCCCCCCGTTGGATTGGTTTAATTTTGTTGGTTACACATTCTCAAATTTGAGCCCAGCTCATTCATAATATGAAGTTCATTTTGTTCCATTTTTGTTGCAAGAAATACATTTTGCATGTGTAAATAAAAAATAAAAATAAAATAAAAACTATAAAAACAACAGTTGTAAATGGAAACCTGTTGTGAATTGGCGCTATATAAATAAAATGAATTGAACTGAAACATGAAAGAAAATGATAGCCTCTCAAAGGATTTTGAGAGGCAGTTTTTTTTTTTTTGTTTTTTTTTTCAAATAATTAGCATTTCAAAATTGTAATCATTTTACATTTTCAATTACAATTTTTGACATTTCTGTTTTAAAATATAGTTTTTTGAATTGAATTTCCATTTTCTAAATCCCTTTCTGAGGTAAATTCTGATGTAAAACTCAATTTGGAAAAGAGACATCTAAGAAAATCTTACCAAACCTAAGAAAATAACTTTTTGACTAAGTTTTTACTTAGTAAAATGTTCTTTGCTTGCATCAATAATGGGATACATTTCACCCCATAGATTTCAAAATAAAGAAAAACCAGGAAGACAATAGTGACAAAAGAAGGGATCCTGATTCTTTAACCACTTAACAGAGCACTTTGCTGTCAATCTGCAGGTTTGCTAGTGCTTCCTAGAATTTTTAAAAGTAAAATGGGAGGCAGATTTAGTCCGTGAGGCAGACACCCTGTCTACTTTTAAGGCTAGGCTTAAAAATTTCCTTGTTGATAAAGCTTATAGTTAGAGTGGCTCAGGTTATCCTGAGCTATCACTATAGTTATGCTGCTATAGGCTTAGACTGCTGGAAGACATAGGGACCCCTATTTCATCATTCTGCTTCATTCTATTTATATATCTCTCCTATTCTGTAGAATCTGTTAGTTCAATCTCTAATGTTCTGCCCTCTCTGCTTTTTTTTCATAGTAGCTTCAACAGTTATGTTCCTGTTTGGCTGTGACTCCATCCTGGAGAGAAATATCAGCTGTGCTGCTTCCATCAACACCTTTGTTTTTAGATGCTGGAGATCGGCCTGTTTTTCAGTGTAGACCTGTTTCTCTGACTGACAGGCTGGAAGTGCTCTTTTCATCCTCTGACTTGGAGTTTGTCTGCCTGGCTGTGTGTTTCCTGGACGGGCTGCCTTTTACAGCTGCTTTTTGTGTCTCTGCTTCTGTCTCCTTGAATCCCAGTCGGCCTCAGCAGATGGCCGCTCACACTGAGCCTGGTTCTGCTGGAGGTTTCTTCCTGTTAAAAGGGAGTTTTTCCTCTCCACAGTCGTCACAAGCATGCTTAGTGTGAGGGATTCTATTTGAGTCAATGCAATCAACTGATTTTCCTTAAATAGAAAACTATGAATCAATCTGACTGGTTGATCTGGTGAACTGGAAAGTGCCTTGAGATGGCGTGTGTTTTGAATTGGCACAATATAAATAAACTGAATTGAACTGCTTGTAGTTCAAACTTCACATTTAGATTATATGTAATGATACAAACTCAAAGAGCATCAATCTTTATGTAGGGCGTCTAAGTCTGGTTTACAAAGACACAAACTGGACACTTTTTATTTATGCAAGTCAGTTTATTGTGAGAACATTTTTCATCTCCTTCTGGTTCTTCCCAGAGGTCCACTATCAACATAGATGGAGCTTCTTACAAACAATTCATAAGACATTGACAGCGACAATAAACTGAGAACTAACTGCTGTGGATCTACATCCTAAAGAATCTGTTAACAACTCATCATGAAATACTGCAGAGTTTAAAGTAGCATGGTCCCGCTGATATGTACAGCATAATCCAAGCAGCCAGAGCCTTCTTGGAGCTAAAAGTGCATTGAAATTACACAAAAACATTTTAATAGTTATACAGGCATGCAAACGAATCTGGATCTTTATCTTGTGTGAAAATAGACCCAATCTGCTGTTTCACTGAATGAGTAAAATTGCTAAATAGCACCCTCTGGTGGCTGCTAGGAGAACAACAGCGCATCCAACAGACATTCTCAGTTCTAATATTTTATTAAAAAAAGAAAATAAATAACATATAAATTCCATATTCAGTCTAAACACATGCCAAAACAGAAGTGATACTGTGAAGAAGGATGTTTATTTTCAGACCTTTTTATTTTACGATGACCAATTTAAACTGCTCGTCTTTCCAGGGTATAATATCTATACAAGAAAACTGTTTTGGAGACAGCATACAGAAATTCACAGGTTTTCTAATTCACTCAGGCTCAAATGTATACATACACTCCCCGAAAAAGCCAAAGGTTCTAGAAAGTAACTTGATTAGAACAAGGCTTGACTTCTGATGAGGGCTGACTGACTGCGGCTGGTACCTTCTCTTTGGCAGCATAAAAAAAAAACGTCTTCAGAACAATAATTAAAAACAAAAGTCAAAGTAGGTTAGTGAAGATTTTAGGGAAAGTTCGCACTGCACACTGAAAGGATCAAACTGTTTTGCAGAAATATAAAAGTTATCCTGCTTACTGGCTCATATAATGTTAGTATTAAAGGTATAGAGGACGATCATTAAATTCCAGGTGGATCATCTAAATAAATGGTCCTCCTAACTGTCAATCATCCTGGTGATATGTTTACATAAGGCCGTCCTATGTGCTCGCCCCATTAGCTATCCTTTTCTGAGCATGCGCACTTTCAGGCGTATATCTATGGTGAGCTACGGTTTCAGACAGTCATTGAAGCTCACCTTTCTCACCGCGGTTCTTTGAAAATGGCCACGGGTAGTAAGAGAACAAGTTCCTACGAAGTGTATGAGAAGAAGAGAAAGGCCTCAGAAGAGGCAGATATATCCCAGAATGCTTTGCGGGGAGAACTCTCCTCTCAAAACACTATGGGATTTGCTGTCACAGCGGCCTACTGTCTCCATAGGCTGTCGCTGTCCGACAGCGGCGGGCACCGCGTGGTAGAGGAGGAGTTACGTAACCAACTGGGAGCAAAAAGCAGTGATCATCTGTCCAAACGGTCAGTTAACAGAGTTTGCTATAAAGTCCACTATATATTCCCCGCTGTATGTGGACACATTAAGCTTGTATGAGCTATGAGAACAGCACATTTTAAACAGGGCGTGCACAAAGGAGAATGGGCTCGTGCACGCTCTTGCACAAGCATTTTTTTTTTTTAAGTGGAGAGGTCTTTTAAAAAATCCTGATACGTTTAAGTTCATTGTATATTTAATAAAAAAACATCAAAACTAGTCATTCTTGCCTCCTCGATTATTAAATACTGAATAAAAACAGTGAAACAGGCGAAAAACAAAAATATGAGGGTCAAAATATAAAACACCATCGCTGCAGCAGTCTGCTGGTTCCGTTTGCGTTATGCACTGGAAAAAAATCGAAGTCTAGATAATTTTTCCTTAAAAAAAGTGGATTTGTTCTCTGATTGAGGAGGTAAAAGAGACACTTTGCCAATGGAACAAGAAAATTTGCACTTAAAATGAGAAAACACAATTGCATTGTCTTATTTCAGGTGCATATTATCTAATTATCTTAATTTAATAGTAAAAATACAAACTATCTCATTTACTAAAATTAAGGGTAAATACACTTAACTTAAGACATTTTTACTTATTTCTAGATCATTTTTCCAGTGTAGCAGAAAGTTTCTGCAGAAGGTCTGAGGAATCTGACTACGTTCCAGAAGCAGAGCAATGGAACTGACTCCGATTATCTTCTCAGCTCCCCTCACTGATCACTGCAGGGCTTTCTTGTTTGAAGCAAAACCTTTGCAGCCAAACATCATTAGTGCTGTATTTATATATTTGAGATTTAATGGGGAAAAAAGGATATCTGTAGTTTAATGCTATCGTCATTCCACCCTGAAGAAACAGTTTAAATAATGAGTAAAATGAATATAACATTGATGCCAGAAAAGGTTTTTAACTTCTGTCTAAAACGACCCTGGAAGAAACATAACTCCTCTAGCATTAAAGCCTGAAATACAGGAGACGGCAGAGGAATAATACGTTGTAAAAGCTGGCATGCCATCACTTCCTGTTCTTCTTAAAATGAATCTTTTGCAGCCCTGATGCATCGCTAATTTAACGTCTCGTGTGTTTGAACTAAACTGTACAAAACTTATAAATTATAAACATCTATACAAACAACATCAACTCGGTCCTCAGTAGTTTGACTAAATAATGAGGTGCAGTGCAGCGTCGCTGCAGAGAGCGAGCCTTAGGTTTCACTGTACAGAGCACTGGCACTGCTGTTCAGACATGATCTTTGAATAAGTTAATTCATAAATAAATCACGATGATGTCTTCCCAGTAACAGCGGCATCCACACGCACGCATCCACAATCAGACGATCTCACTCTAATCCACCCTGCATCTAAAATCTAAAAATACTTTTTGGTTTTAAACGACTTCAGCTAAAAGCCTAACATGATGTCTACAGGGAGCTTTGCCTTCAGCAGGTACACATTTCTAGAAAACTGTACACGACTCTTTGATAGAATGACAAATATATATATCTCTACATTAAAGTGACAGTGCTGGAGAGGATCTCGTTCATTCGTCAGTTTGTTAAAACAGCATCTACTTAGTTAAGGAAGAAAACTGCCTATTTATTAATAGTTTTAAATATGTAGATTCTTTCTGTCAGTGCGAAGCGACATCTATGGCAAACAGCATGCAACGTTAGTGTGTACTGAGCATGGAGATGTTGTTTAAATATTTCAGGGGGTCCTTTGATTGTCCAGATAAAGCTCCATATCATCAGCTAAAAGAATTACCTATTTAATCCTCAAATCTATACAGAGAAATTTCTATTTTACTTAAAAATACCTTAATCTTGTGCTTATATCCAAACTTGTACAAAGAGTAACAAACAAAGTAGCTAAAAATTGCGATTCCCGTTTCTCCTCCCGGTAATAGTAGCTGTTAACCCACCAGCAGAAGTCTAACTGTCCGCGCTGATGTGGTCATATCAGCCAAAAGTGACTGGCAACAATCTCTGCCTCTAGGACGCCATCTTCGTGTCTCCAAACGGTTCCAGAAACACATCCCAAGCCTTCTGCGTTTGTACCCGAGAGAGCTGTGGTTCCCTAAACAAAGAAAAGGTCTGACTCGTTTCCGAGGTGCCGACAGCCCAGAAGCCGGGTGAGTTTCTCTGCCTCCGCAAGCCAAGAGTACGAGGATGAAGGAGAAGAGGCGGCAGAGGAGGTTGGAGGTCAGTGGATGTCTCTGCACATGGGGAGGTTGACAAAAATGAAGACGTTGAACTCGATGAGGACGGAGAAGCACAGGAAGATGGCGTACATGATGAGGCAGGCCAAGCCCAGTCGCCAGTCAAGAATCCATTTATTCAGATGGACTCCGAGGACCTGCGAGAGAAACAAAAAGGATTGTAGAAAAATCAGGAGATTTTCTCACAATCTATCCAGACCAAGAATCAGAATTCAAAATTGGAAAAAGGAGATCTTATAGGCAATGATAACAACTGGAAGCTAAAAACGTACAAACATTTGGGGAATTATCTGCCAGTGTTACACCTCTTGCAGCAACAGTTGGACGTTTTGTTCTTTTTTGCTTTATGGAAAGCAGTAGCTAATTTTTTCGGAGCTACTTACCTGGACAGCTATGTTTTCGTTACCATTGAGCCTGTGCGTTGTTATAAGAACTGCCCTGACATTAGCAATTTGCTTGTTGAGGGACATCAATTCACAAGGCTTGTGAAAGGCTCCTCCACATATTGACAGAGATGGCAAAAGTACTCACTTTCCGTACTTGAGTAAAAGTACAGATACTTGTGTTAAAAAATACTCTGGTAAAAGTGGAAGTACTGATTAAACTTCTTTACTCAAGTAAAAGTAACAAAGTACAGGCTTGTAAATCTACTTAAAGTATAAAAGTAAAAGTAGAAACCACTTTTTTCATGCCGTTGCCTACATTTTAACACTAGAACTACTACGGAGGGGTCAATTGTCCTTTTTACCTAAAAGCCCTACAAGAGGGTCATTTGACCTTTGGACCTCCTGCGGAACACTCCTTTTGTTGTGGAAATGTAGCTGTTAGCAGCTCATAGCTGTCACAGAGGCGCTTGAGCCTGTGTGGGGAAGGGAACCCTAAGGCAAGCTTTTAGTATAGTTTTTAGTGGATTTTTCCGGGTCAATTGACCCCTCTCTGGTAGTTCAAGGTAGGCAGAAAAATCCTGGTAGTTCTAGTGAATGTCTGCCAATAGGACTAGATCTCCGTTGTGTTCATTTTCAATCATCTCGTCGTCCATACTACTATGCTAACGCCACCGCCACCAAGCTGCAATGATTTGCCGCGAATGAATACCGCCGAATCTGTCGATTCATCTTGTAGTGGTGCGTCAAATGCAACGTAGATTCCCATCCAATTAGATTGAATTTGGTATTGATGACGTGAAAAATAATAACGGTAACTCCATTGAAATGATTCAAAACTAAAGAAACGAGTCAATTTTTAAAAATGTAAGGAGTAGAAGTAAAAAGTCGCCATAAAAATAAGTAGTACAGTAAAGTAAAAATATCAGAAAAATCTACTTGAGTACAGTAACGAAGTATTTGTACTTCGTTACTTCCCATCTCTGCATATTGAAGTCTGCTGGTTGCATGTCTTGTGAATTGGCACTATGTTAATAAACTAAAGTGGACTTTTTAGCCTAGTCAGTAAGAACGGAAAAAGAATTGCAAACTCACCGTGAAGAATACTGATGCGAGTAGAATTCCTACAGAAAATATGAGTCCTCTGCTGTTAAGATGGATCTGAGAAGACAGATGTTATACAAAATGGGTCCAAATGTCTAAGAAAACTCTCTCTGGTCTGATATTGCCCTTATAAAAATACATTTTGGTTTAATTCTGCGCTGATAAAGACTCACATTGGAGCCATAGTCGATGCAGAGGGTTTGGAGCGCCCATGGCAGACCCAGACCAACCAGGATGTCAAACACGTTGCTGCCAATGGAGTTGGAGATGGCCATGTCTCCCATACCTGAGACAAGTAGAGAAACACCATGAAGCTGTCTGATGAGCCACAGCTCCTGTTATCCTTACAGCAGGTGTCTGTACCTTGCCGGGCCACGATCACGCTGGCCATGCAGTCTGGGACGCTTGTGCCCGCCGCCAAGAAGGTGATTCCCATGATGACATCAGGAATGCCGAGGGTGAAGCCAATCACAGTCACCTAAAACCAGAATTAAGTGAGGAGGACTTTAAGCGAGCCAGCGTGGAATAGAGTAGAAAGAGCTGATTGGCTGATATACCAACAACACTATTATGAACAAGCGGCCAGTTTAAGTAAGCAAGTTGGCAAATTTCAGGAAACAAGATGCTTGATGCCACCTCCTTTATGGCTTTGTTCTCTGCACAAAGTGCTTCTTACTTTCCAGGATGGTGTGGAATCATAATTCCAGGACCAGTTTAGTTTTCAGCACCTCATTGCTTGCTGCCCACTCTACTGGCCATCTTGGTTCTTCACTTTTTTCTCCATTTATGTTGTGTTTTTGCCAAATCAAACCGCTTTATGCAATCAGTGAAACAAAGTAAGTCTACAGGTGAGTCCCAACAGCAATAATAAGCAGAGGAAGTAGTAAAATAACCAACATAACATGAGGAAAATCAAAAATAAGAGAAATGTATTTACGGTGCCCTCAAACATTTAGATGCTTGTTTGAATTACATTAATTATTTACTGTTGCTCAATTTCTGTTTCTTAATATAAGCCATATAAATGCTTCGTCTTCACCTGAAATCAAAGACTAGATGGTTGAAACTTGGACAAAACTGGATGTTTCATTGGACAATGAACTAAAACATGGGGGCGACACTAAATGGAAGTATGTGAGACCTGCAGCTGTGAGGAAACATCGTCCTCCATTATATATCTGAACCTGTGTTGTAATGATTAACCAGTGTGGAGTAAATAATGTTCATCTTTCAGTGTATTAAGACTGAACTCACCATCCAGACCATGATGTACGAGAGGCCAGCGATCCAGATGGTGGCAGTGAAGAAGGAAAACATGAACCACCGTTCCCAGCGCTGCTTGGCACAGTTGGGTATGGTGAAGAAGAAGAGCAGGGACAGTGGCCACATGATCAACCACTTCAGCTTGTTGCAGACCCCCGCTGGAGGAAAACGGAGTTACTCACTATTTTCAATATCTACCCTACGAAAGGGACAGTTTTCTGTTGCATAAAACCTACTGAATGTTTAACTTCAGGGACCTTAAAGAAAAGCTAAGACTATGTAAATCAGATTTATTTAAACTAGCAAATAAAGATAAAAAAAATGAAAATGTAGTATGCTGATTGATTGAAAAGCACTATATGTTTTGGCTCAAAAACAAGCATGTGTTTATTTGAGCATAGAAAAATTAACAAATCTTTCCTCATTTCTCATGTAGACATGAGAGATTTCATTTTTTACATTTTATGAACTGGATTCCCTTTTCTTCAGAGGATAGACACATTGGCTGAATATGTTTTAGAGCTGATTATTTGAAGCTTATATTTCATATATATAATTAAAACAACTTTGAACAAAGCAGGGCAATGGTTCATAATTTGATATACCAAAAGCCACCTTCAGCTGTGAACTAAAAGAGAAGAAATTTCAATGTTACTTTAATTCAAGCGTTATGTTGTTCAAATTGACAATTACACTCACCGGCCACTTTATTAGGTACCCCATGCTAGTAACGGGTTGGACCCCCTTTTGCCTTCAGAACTGCCTCAATTCTTGGTGGCATAGATTCAACAAGGTGCTGGAAGCATTCCTCAGGGAGTTTGGTCCATATTGACATGATGGCATCACACAGTTGCCGCAGATTTGTCGGCTGCACATCCATGATGCAAATCTCCTGTTCCACCACATCCCAAAGATGCTCTATTGGATTGAGATCTGGTGACTGTGGAGGCCATTTGAGTACAGTGAACTCATTGTCATGTTCAAGAAACCAGTCTGAGATGATTCCAGCTTTATGACATGGCGCATTATCCTGCTGAAAGTAGCCATCAGAAGTTGGGTACATTGTGGTCATAAAGGGATGGACATGGTCAGCAACAATACTCAAGTAGGCTGTGGCGTTGCAACGATGCTCAATTGGTACCAAGGGGCCCAAAGAGTGCCAAGAAAATATTCCCCACACCATGACACCACCACCACCAGCCTGAACCGTTGATACAAGGCAGGATGGATCCATGCTTTCATGTTGTTGATGCCAAATTCTGACCCTACCATCCGAATGTCGCAGCAGAAATCGAGACTCATCAGACCAGGCAACGTTTTTCCAATCTTCTATTGTCCAATATCGATGAGCTTGTGCAAATTGTAGCCTCAGTTTCCTGTTATTAGCTGAAAGGAGTGGCACCCGGTGTGGTCTTCTGCTGCTGTAGCCCATCTGCCTCAAAGTTCGATGTACTGTGCGTTCAGAGATGCTCTTCTGCCCACCTTGGTTGTAACGGGTGGTTATTTGAGTCACTGTTGCCCTTCTATCAGCTCCAACCAGTCTGGCCATTCTCCTCTGACCTCTGGCATCAACAAGGCATTTCCGCCCACAGAACTGCCGCTCACTGGATGTTTTTTCTTTTTCGGACCATTCTCCGTAAACGCTAGAGATGGTTGTGCGTGAAAATCCCAGTAGATCAGCAGTTTCTGAAATACTCAGACCAGCCCTTCTGGCACCAACAATCATGCCACGTTCAAAGTCACTCAAATCACCTTTCTTCCCCATACTGATGCTCGCTTTTAACTGCAGGAGATTGTCTTGACCATGTCTACATGCCTAAATGCACGGAGTTGCCGCCATGTGATTGGCTGCTTAGAAATTAAGTGTTAACGAGCAGTTGGACAGGTGTACCTAATAAAGTGGCTGGTGAGTGTATGTTTCCTGTTTGAAACTGTTACCGTAATTTTCGGACTATAAGCGGCAACTTTTTCCCCATTTTTCGACCTTGCGGTTTACATAACAGTGCGGCTTATCCATGGACCTTTACAGCTAACGGCCACTAGGGTAATACCTAAATCTATGGATTTTACCATGTTGACCTCACATTTGCTTCAACAAACAAGTACGGTAGCCGCACGCGCGGGAATGCGGAGGTCCTCCGGAAGCAGACTTCTCGACGGTGAGAAAGACGGACATTAAACATAAAAAACCTGCGGCTTATAGTCCGGTGCAGCTTGTATACAAATCATGCAATTTAGCTTCTGCGGCTTATATTCAGGTGCGGCTAATAGTTGGAAAATTATGGTAGTTTCATTTGACCTAAAATCTAAAAATATCTTATCATGAAAAAATAACTGTAAGAACAGTTTTTAAATAAATATCTAACTGAAGTCAAAGGTGATTGTGTTGGATGACATCAGGAGTGACTGGCTGATCATTTATTGGCTGATGAAATTATTTATTTTACAAAAAGCAACGTGGCCTACCAGCTTCAGAAGAAAATAAACAGCCAAAGCATTTAATGGGAATGTGGGGGGTGTACTTCCCCATTATAGTAAGGGCAAATATTGAGAGTATCATAATATGTAAGGATTTCACTTTAAGAGGAGTTCACATTAAGTTCGGTCTTTGAACCAAAGGTTCAGTGTAAAAAAGCAACAACAAAAAACTTAAAAGTTTTTAATTTCTTTCACAATTTACAAAACAAACCTTGACTTTCTTTTTTTGCCAGTCATGAGATTCTTCCTTCAGGATCTGAACCCAACTAGTAGCTTGACGGGTTAAATTGTCCTTAGGTGTTGGTATGGATGCATGGCTGTTTATCGTGTAATGTTTCCATTCTTGGCTGGGTTTAAAAATCATTGTTTGAGTTTGACAGTCAGCACCCAGAAGCCTTTGCTTCCCCCATTTTTTGACTGGATTTAATGTGTTGAGATTTATCAATGTCATTTATTTATTTATTTGTTTGTTTAAAGAGACAGCAGATGGGTCAAGAAAAGAACAAACAACTTAACTACTTGCCATAATTAGTATCTGTCCAGGATAGATGTGTGCGCTACCTGGGACTTTAAAAGGCACCAGAGGGCCTTCGCTGTCCTCTTCTTCTCCTTCCTCATCATTCTGGTTGTTCTGGTTGTCCTCATTTTCCATCTCGTCACAGGACTCCAGCCGGCAACGCCCAACGAATCCCTGCTCAGCTGCATTCATCCCGTTCTCTAAGCCCCGCCTCCCCAGTGCTCGGGCGGCGGAGTCTGAGTCCCCGTTGGTGATGCAGTTGACCCGGGTCTCTGTGGTATTAATAAGCCGCTGTCTCTAAATAAATCACAACAGGAAAAACAAAATGTTGCTGATGCTCAGAAATAACCAGTTTTTCATCCTGTAAATAAAATAAAAAACTCTGATAACATTAAGACGCTCAGCTCCGATTTGTTTAGACTAGCTGGAAATATGGAGTGAATTTTGTTTAATAATTTTTGAAAATAAAAATACATTATGTAAATGGTAATATGAAAAACTCCAATCCAAAAATCAAACTTTAAAAAACTTATTTTAAACTCAACTTTAAAGTCCTCTTCGATTTTTTCTTTATTGTTGTTGTTTTTTTTATTCAATTATTGTTTAACAGATTCTTTTCAGAGTGCATTTTACAGATAACATTCTATTCACTTCTGGAGGTGGGCTTTCCTATGGACTGAGGAGCAAAGACACATTTCTATTGGTCTGCAGGACTTTAGCAACAACATTTTATAATCTATAAAACACAATTTGTAAAGAACAAACTTCCTAAAACACAATCTGAAAAAGAGAGATAAAAATATACGATTTGAAAATCCTAAATCTAAAAATCATTGAAAAAATTAAAGCTTGATGAAATACAATTTTAAAACATAAAAGGAAAAAAAATGTGAAAAAATGTAATAATAGGAAGAAAATTGTTTTAAAAAACTAAAATTTGAGAAAACAGAAAAGTTCCTCTCAAAACCTTTATTTGATTAAACCGTTTTTTCTAAGTTTCTTTTCTGGATTGCATTTCTTTTGAATTTCCATTTGCAAAATAAGTTCTATGCTTGCAGCAATAATGGGACAAAATTCACACCATATTTTAGCTACAACATTTTGTGATCTATAAAATGGCAAATGCAGTTCATGAAGACCAAAGACAAAAAAAAAACAATGTCCAAAATTTAACATCTGTAAAAAAAAAAAAAAAAATCCAAAAAGATCTATTATATTTGAACAAAGAAAATATTAAAAATGAATAATACAAACGATAAAATCTAAGACAGCAGCAAAGAAAAAAGTAAACCTTATTTGGATTAGGATGTTTTTGAAGTTTGATTTCTGAGCTGAATTTTGTCATTCTTACATTTACAGAATATTTTCTTAGCTCACAATGATAATGTGTCAAAATTCACTCCATAAACTAGTAAACACACGGTGGAAGGATTTCTATATTTGAATAGATTCTGTTTGCATGATTAGTCAAAATGGCCGTACCTCATTGATAAGCATACGGGAGGCCATGGTGAGGCGAGTTCTGGGGGAGAAATGACTGGTGATCATGATCCTCATGCCGGCCTCAGAGAAAGACAGCTGGTGTGGGTATGCAGAGAGCAGCTCATCCACCATCAGCACCGACGGTGTACAGTGGAAGTTAGCTGGAGAGGAAAAGGTTTGTCAGAGCAATAATCAATAATCCCTGAAGTCCATTTTGTCTGTTTTCTATAACCTGGAGTCGTTTGTTTTTCTCACACATTTAATCTCTGATGCCTGTCAAATCTAAGAGGAATGTTTTTTTGGAATGTTTAGCCACTTAAATCTTATCTTTGAATCAGTCCATCACAATTATGCTTGTAAGGAATGGACGTGAAGTTTTTAATGCATAATGTACTATATTACAAAGTTGACCCAACCCATATCATGACCCCTCCTCCATCATGCTTCAAGTTAATGCGAGGTATTTCAGAAAAAGTAGTTTTTTCTTTGCATTGGATGCTTTGGGATAAAATTGTGGTTGTCCATTAGAGATTGACCGATCAGGTATCAATATCTGTCCTGATATCGAATAAAGGCTAGATGGAGTGTCCCCGATCAAAGGAGGCAAATTGTGTCCATTTCTATGAAAAATTAGGTTAGTTTAAAAATCTCTGAGACAGCAGGGACTGTATCCCTTTATAGGCACCCAGGTTTGATTAAAAGGTTATTATTAGCATTATATGCCTACACAGAAAGATCAAAATTCAGTCTATTATAATAAAATAAGTCTGTATGTTCCAAGTGTCTGTCCTCATTGTGTTTAGATGAACCTGTTTGAGCCTAAATAGAACCTCAGCATCAGGTGCAGAGCTGACATCAGACATGCAGCCATCTGCTGGCAGTACTGCTGAACTACCAGAAGCCAGGTTGGGGCTATAGATAGGGCTACTAAATAAGTCCAGACCGTGCTGGAACGCCTGGAACAACAGCTCTGAGGATAGGGTTTAAAGCATTGCTAACACCAGTAGCACTGTTAGCAAGGGCCGTTTCTCAATATGTGTACTTGTGCGCTCTCATGTGCTCGTAAAACGTCATCAGCCTCCCCTAGTACTGTTCTAATTCACTAGAAAAGTAGGCCGAGAATGGATGAAGTCCCAGGATTTTGTTCTCACCCCTCCCTCATGTTTGAGCCCTTGCCTCGCAACGCTGCCAGTTCTGTTAGCTCTACGCCTGCTGAAGACACAGACGTCCATCCCCGTGAACAACTGACAGATGACTGTTGATGTGATTGGCCGAATTTAGGTGTTCAGCCTGACGTATAACTAACTGGCCTGCATAAAATAATGAAATAAACCCTACAGATTAAGACAGGATTTTTTTTTTTTTAAAGAAATTTTCAAACTTTCGGGACAATATGGTCTGATAAAGAGTACATTTATATACATGTTTAAGCCAGAATGATTTGACATTTAAATATGACTTCCCTATGACTTTAAGCATCACTATATGGCCCATTTACTGATTTAATGCATATTTCAAAATGTTTTTCTGAAGTTGAGAGGATTGCGGCAACCAGCGGAGCTCTGAGGCTAACCTCAGCCAGGTCTAACGTTTGCTCGTCTGCAGCAGCCCTCTCTCTGCATAGATTATTTTCTGCGTCACCCAGAGGTCAACTATCCCCCCATTAAGCTCTGAATGGAACCAAATGATCTAGCAGACTTTTTCAGTGCTACTTCAGATTTGGTTTTTAAGAAAGAATGATTTTTATTCACGGCCGATGACATCATAATCCCAATAGTAGCATACAATAAGCTCATTCAACCTTGTCCTTCTCTTTTGTTAAACACTATAAAAAGAGAAATAAAATATTTATATTTAAAACATCCTCATTAAGAACAAGTGGAATCAAATTAACATTGTTTGCTTGTATACACAAACTTTGCAAATAGAGCAGCTTGTTTCTGATTCATAAATCTTTAAAATAAAGGTTAAATTATACTTATGCACTCAAATCAGATGTATTATTTGTCTTTTCAACAAGCTCCTCCCACATACTAGCAGGACACTACTAGTTAAAGCAGTACAAAACTGCATCCTTAGCCCCCAGCATTAGCATTATGATTCACTCCAACTTCAGCGAAGATTTAAGGACCTCTGGTACCTTTCTTGAGGAGAACTGCAGTCGCATCATATGAGACATTATCATCCAGATCCGTGCTTCCCGTCAGCCCGTTCGCCAGGTTCCCAGAGCCCTTCTTTCTTTGGCTGAAGTACCGATGAGCCTTTCCGTTGAACCTGAGAACAACATGATCAGTTAAAAACAGAAAACAACTTGGAGAGACTTTGTGTTGTTCTAATGTGACTTATGATGGTGAAGGTTCTTAGTCATCACGGACATAGTCTGGGTTAATCATTTGGGTCCACCCAATCCAAATAGGTGGACCCCTTCATCTGCTCCAATTTGCATGTTTTACGAAACAAAAACAAGGCTTTATTGGGCTACTGAATAAAACCTTGAACTGAACACTATTTCTGACATCTTGAACTGAAAAGCTTCCCTGATGGGAAGCAAAATGTCTTCAAACTTGGAAGCAAAGTCCAGTGGATTGTTTTTAATTTTATTTTTCTAATGTGACTCACTTCATGATGAGGATGTAGACAGCGTACATGAGGATCAGTACCAGCGATTCCCACCTGCAACCACAACAGTTATTTAGAGCTTTACAAACCCTCCTTATATGTACTTCTGGTTGCAGTGTAAATCATACGCACCAGCACACTTTCTCATCATAGATGAACTAAGCAGGGAAGACAAGGGGACAACAATGGGACATCTTAGCATCTGAATTATAGTCATGGTCATAGAAACCATATAGTATTGTTTAAAGGTATAATACTTATAAATACATTTCTGTAAGAGACAAAGGATCCAAGTTATATTTAAAATGATCTTATTTTAGTTTTTATCAGTTTGGAAAAGATGAATCCCTCTTTTATTGAATTATTTTCCAGTCAAAGGACTATGGAATGAATATTATTCCATTATTGGTAATAGCAAAAAGAGAGAAACAGGCTTGGAGAGAAACTTTCTTGTTTACTCAGTTTTAATTTTTTTTTATTTGTCAGATTTTAATATTTAATTAATCTTATATTTTATTGTTTGTTTTTTTTTTTTACAGATTATGTTTTTCAAAGTTTTCTATTTCAGATCGATTTTTACAAATTGTATTCTTTTACATACAGACCAATAGAAATTAGTCTTTACTACACACTCCAGAGGAAAGCAAACCCCTTCCCAGTAGCGAATAGAATGTGATATAAAACAAACCAGTTAAAAAAGGAAATTTGAAAAACTCAATCTGGATCTCAACTCAATCTCTTTGTTTAAATATATAATCTGCAAAAAAAAAGAAATACATTTAAAATAAAATCATGGGGAAAAAAATTGGAAAATGACTCAAAAACACACCAAAGTTACTCTAAAAATATTTTCAGAACAAGAAATTTGTCAACATTCCATTTTCAAATCGCTTTTTTAAAATTTTCATTCAAACAACTTGTTCTTTGCTTTCAACAATAATGGAATAAAACTCCCTCCGTACATAGGGGACAGACAGTAAAGAAACAGTTTCCTCCATGATGCTTCCATAATAATAAAACCTCTCACCACAATCAGCGCTATGATGGAAAAAGTGTAATAGATGGAATCTCTGAGCAGAGCCCAATGAGACAGTTTCACCGCCTGCAAAATAAAAAAAAAACATAAAGTAGCATTTAACACACAGAAAGGCTCTTTAAACCTTGTGTTATTCATCCTCTGGGTATTTCAATCACAGCTCATGGTTCAGGTTTGACACTTTTATTCTTAAATTAGAACTTTAAACCAACTTTTAAAGTCAACATAGAGATATTTACTGTATATTTTCAATAAACATATAAAAATGGATGATTTTTTTGTGCTGTGGGAAAAAAAAAAAAAAAAAAAACAGACAATAAATGCAATCTCTAAGTTTCTGGGAAACTAACCAGTACTTTTGTAGGAGAACCTGCATGATCTGGAAAAAAGAAGAAGGAAGGATCGATGCAGACGGATGAACTAAGGAACGAACGGATGGATCTTTGTTACCTAAAGCACTTTAATTTTGAAGGGGGGTTAAAATCAGTGCTGTTCTGTGATATCTTGATACCTATTGTAGACTCTGTGCATCTAGAGACGTTCTTTCATGTGGTTTTTACTGTCATTACTGCTGCAAGCAACAACAAAAAAATTAAAAATGATTTCTAGAAATAAAACTTTGAAAAACATTTTCATGAAAATAGGTTTTGGAAGAACTTTGCTGTTTTCTCTGATTCTTTTTTTTTTTTTCAAATTTCTCTGTTTTCGATTTGAGTTTTACAAATAGCAATCTTTTTTAAGCGGCTTATTACAGATGATGTAAATGTCATTGCAAACGTCCATGCAGACCAATAGAAATGCATCTTTACTGCTCACTACAGAGGAAAGCCCTCCCAAAGAAGTGAATACTGTAGATCTAGAAGTTATGGAAAATGTCATTTTAAAAGAACGCAATTCGTAAATCTTAAAAAGAGAAATCAGAAGGTTTAACATTTGAAAAGATATTTTTTAATAATTTGAAAAAAAAAAAGGAAAATTTTCTATCAAAACCATTTTGATTCAGAAGTTTTTCAAAGATTAATATCTTGGTTGTAGTTTTTTATTTCCATTTTAAAAACATGCTCTTTGCTTGCAGCACTAATGGAAGAACAGGTGTAGAAACATACTGGAACAGAGCGTGTTTAAGGATCGCCTCCTCACCTGATGGCTCTCTGCACACAGTTTGTAGTGAAAATAGGCTGGGTATGAAATCCCAGCAAGCAGGTGAGGCGTTCTTAGAAAGCCTCCTGCAAGCACAGCAGTGATGTTCTGGGTTTGTTTGGGGAGTTGTCTGTTTTCTGTTCAGGAACTGCTGTTTGAAGCTGAGCTGGGAATATTTCTCCTTTTTAAATGGTTTCCATGAAACAATAGAATAAAAAGGAACAAAATTATTGTTGGACTCAGACATAGATGTTTTTCTTATTATATATTGTCTGTTTGAAACTAATGTTTATGTGAAAAAAGTATTCTGTTTATGAATGTTTTAGAAATAAAACTTTTATTTAAATCAGAACCAGCTCAAAACCTGCAGGTTCTAAAGAACAACCAGTTTAAACTGCAGGCTCTGTGAACCCAACTGGAAAAACTTGCAACGAACTCGTAAATTCTGGTTTTGAACCCGTAAATTACAGGAAAAAAAGCAATATCTGTGAATAAAACTGGGGAAAGCAACCTGAAAGGTACATTAATTTGAATATAAGCCCCAATGTTCCATAACGAGCTCCTTCAGTTGGAGAAAAAAATGCAGCTTTTGACTATAACTTTATTTCTAAAGTAACATATTAGATCAGGAGTAACCAGTTAAAAATCAGCGGGGTCCGAGTAAAGAAAATCATCAACCACTAAAGGTCTGGAGACATTTTTAATTATAATCTGTTACTTTAAACATAATTTAAAACTGAAATAATTTGCAGGTGTTTATGCATCTTTTTAAATAAAAAAAAGTTTAAAAAAAAAATTTAAAATTTTTCAACTTTAAAATCTAAATTGTTTTTGAAGTAGAGAACAACAATTGTTCAGTTTGGTATATAGACAATTTCCTGACTCACTTTTTTATAAAAACACCTGAACTGACATTTTGTTATTTTATTTTTTTCTGTCTTAATGAGAGCAGTGGGCTTTAGGCTGCCCTGCAAGGCTTTAAACCTGGGTTTGAATGAAGACAAAGCCGTTCTGAAGCACATATCAAGGAGCTGATTTTGAGTCTGGATCCATATTTATTTTTGATTCTGTTCATGGTGGAGAATCCTGCTTCACAGCAGCAGGTTGATAGCCTGGGTGCCATTCCGAACTTAGTCCCGCCCACAACATTTGAGGTCAGGAAGTTCAGTCTGGCATTGCTCAACAGTAGCGCGAGTATGCTCGCACAATATCTGACGGGCCAATCAAATTTTTAGGGCGGGCTTTATACGATGATGGACAGATGATCAACAGTAACGTAATCAACCACGTCACCAAAGCGCGCTTGGGTGACAACAACAATGGCTGCCGCTGGAGAGTTGAGGTGTGTAGATTCTGCTATTAGGTCTGTTCTAGAAGATATCGACAGCAAATTAATTTTAAAAGAGGAACAGAGAAACGCGATCAAGGCTCATCTTCTTATTTTAGGCGTGCAACTGCACGCTTTGATTTTTGTTGACAACAACTATGCATCGTTTAACATACGTCACGCACTCCGTTGCTCTTATTGGTTGTAGGTCTATCCAATTGAGTGCAGAGGCATTTTTTTTCCTGGTTCTTTCGAAACACGCCCCATAATCACAGCTCTATGGAGCAGTATCAGACTCATTTTCTGACTAGAACTGAGTAGGACTACGTCAGGCTAGCAGGTTGAGCCAAACATCCTCTAAATGTTCAGGGTCATCTTTGAGCACCATTTCACTTTTCTTTAACCAGTTCACCACAGTTCTTCCAGCAGTCCACACTTTCTCTGCTCTCTTTTTCTCATCATGTTCCCCTTCTTTCCCATTGCCCGGCTTGCCACAGGTTTGTCTGCTGTGTCTAAAAGTAGCAGCAGCAGCAACCCAGACTGACAGCAGCTCATTGGATCATTTGGATCACGTGCAGCCCAGTGCCGGAGGCTCAGGAGGGCTTTACCGTATTAACAGGAGAAGCGGCGCAAGTCAAGTTACAACATGTGGTAATTTCTGAATGTTTTAAATCAGGTTGGGTCCGGATCCGGTCTGCTAATTTGTGACCTCTGCTCTAGACAATCTGTAAATTTAGATGGAAGGTGATCTGAATGCCATCTTAGGACAGTAAGTCATAACTTTAGAGTTCTGGTGGTTAATCATATCGCAAGAAATCATACATCAATTGATTATAAAGATTGATCTTTTTTAATAACGTTGGATGGATTTTTTTTTTTGCATACTGATTTATTGAGATGATTACAAGTAAATCTTCAGTATCCAAACATTTTTTTACACAAGAAATGAAAATAAAGAGCAGGTATAAAATGTGTTATGTTTTCTCTAAATGATAAGGTAACAGAGGGGACTTTGTTACTCTTGTTATATCTGCTGGGGTAATCCATACAACACACTATTAAAGCACTTTAACATGCAGGCACCAGCTTTGCACTTCAAGCATAGATTTGCACATTAGTAACCATTTGCAGAGAATATGTTTTAATTATTTATTGATTATCTATTGAGCGTCTTATTGGGCAGCATGTAGCCTTTTGTTTTACACTGCAAAAAACAATCCTAAAATGAGAAAAACATTCTTAAAATAAGTCTATTTACCCTTAATCTGAGGGGGTAAATGGTACGATCTGCAAATGGAATGAGTGTATTTAGCCTTAATCAGATATTATGCACTTGAAATAAGAGACTGCTGTTGTTTTTTCTTATTTTAAATGTCTAATTCCATTGGCAAAGTGTCTCACTTACTTGCTCAATTCAAGACAAATGCACTTAAATTAAGAGAGATTTACTTATTTAGATTAGCATTTTTTGTAGTGTAGCCACTGCACAGCTGCTCCTAAAAGTCAGGTGGCTGCTTGAGAAGAAAAATTGTAGTTAAAACGTTAAGGTCTACTGAAAATGGGATCACTTATCTGTGTCCTTTCCAGAGTGTTTGGTCTAAATATCCCCTGCACTGCAAAAGCTGATCTAAATGTGCATTTGGCCTCAATTTGGGCAGGAAGACAAGATAATCTGCGATTAGAATGAGCATTTCTGGCCTTAAAATAATATCAATTGATATTAAGCCCATGAAATATGATAATGGAGGTCTTTGTTTTGTTTTTTTGTTTTTTTCTGGAGTTTAAAATAGAGCTGCAACTAATTATTTTGTTAACTGATTAATCTATCAATTATGTTTTTGAAGAATCGATTAATAATCGGAGGCAAAGAAGATTTTTTTTTTTATGAAATGAAACCAGGTGAAACTAAAACTTTTCCACTTAAGAAGTTCTGGATAGAGCATATTGGCAGATAAAAAGGTTTTTTATCTTAAATGCAAAATATTTACATTTTTTTTTTACAATTTTGATATATTGCTGCTCAAAAAGGGACATTCTGTCAGCTAAAGGCATTATTTAGAGTCTCTATACTCCTGTTAACAATTAATCAATTAGTAAATCAGTTAACAATAGTTTTAATCATAGATTAATCCAATTAATTGTTTCAGCCCTAGTTTAAACATAAATGTTTAAACATAAACTCTCTTAAAATAAGTGTATTTACCCTTAATCTAAGCAGGAAAATAAGATTATCTCCCAATGGAATGAGCATTTTTACCCTTAGAATTAAAATAATTACATAGATATTGTGCACTGGAAATAAGAGACTGTAGTTGTTTTTCTGTTACTTCAAATGTAAATTGTCTTATTCCATATGCAACATGTCTCCCTTATCTGCTCAATTTAAGAATAAATTATAAAATGGATAAAAATTGACTTATTTAGAGTAAAATCTTTTGTTGAGGGTAACATCCACCTGCTACTGAATCACGGGTGTGTCGATGTATTTATTGACCCTATGCTCCACCAGAACACGGGAGCACACGATGAAGAGAATAAATCTCCCACATGCAGCTTCAGAGGATTGAACAGTAACATTTTGAACCCACCACTCCCAGGTGGGGAAATGGGAGGTTGAAGAAGAACATAATAATAAAGCCTGTTTGTGCTTCTTTAGCACTTTATTGCACAGTAGAGTCCCTGAAGAGGAACTAGAAACATTTATCCAAGGCCAGCAAACAGCAGGGAAGAACACGGCCTGGATCTGAAGTGGATTTTTCACACCCCATCATTCCCAGCTTCACTAGATGTTCATTATAACCTCAGCACAACTACAAATAAAGGGTTAAACCACCATTTGAAGTTCATCATACATACTTTTTAAAAGCAGGAACTTATCCTTTTTTCATAAATAGATCGCCCTTATTATGTCTTATGATTACATAAATAAAACCTTAGATGAGCAAAATCATGCAGATTTACAGGGTCTGTGTTGATATGATCAAAACTGTGCTGAAATGCAGAAACAGTTGAAAACAAAACTGGTTCTTTATAGAGATTTTCGGAACAAAAGACAACCTGCTGCTAATCAAATGACCAGCAGAGCGTTTGTACGTTTTAGGAGCTCAAAGGATGCAGTTTTCTGCTCTGGAATATTCTGGAAAATATTATTTTAATGAAATGGGAAGATGCGGGATGGATGGAGCGTGAGATTGACAGATGGATCGGTGCAGCGTCGGCAGTTATGCGGTCGATGTATAGGACCGTCGCAGTGAAGTGGGAGCTGAGTTGGGGGAAAAGCTCTCGATTTACCAATCGATCTACATTTCCACCCTCACCTTTGGTCATGAGATCTGTGTAATGACCGAAAGGACAAGATTTCGAATACACCCTTCAACATCGAATGAGGAGCTCAGTTATCCGGGAGGAGCTCGGAGTAGAGCCCTTGCTCCTTCATGTCGAAAGGACCAAGCTGAGGTGGCTTAGGTGTTTTTTCCAGAGGCCTCCGGATCGCCTCCCTCGGGATGTGTTCCAGGCATGTCCCTTTGGGAGGAGGCCTCATGGAAAAACACTCTGAAGGGCTGGCCTGTAACCTCTGGGTCCCCTCAGAGCAGCTGGAGGAAGTGTGCGTGGATCGGGAAGTCTGGCCATCTTTGCTTAGACTGCTGCCTCCCCGACCCAGCCCCAGATAAAGTGGTGTAAGATGGATGGATGGATGGATGGATTGGAAAATGGAAAGAAATCTGATGAAGAAACTGTTATATCTTTTTAATCTGCCAATAATAGTAGGGTGTTTTGTAAATATATTCAGATATCAAACAAGTCTCTCTTGAAAAGTTGTTGGATCTCAGTGAGATTCCCTGAATAAATAAAGGTTCAACAAAATCTTAAAAACATAAATTGACCTTTTCATTCAATATGGCAGCCTGTCTTCCCACAACTGCATATTTTATTACGTTCTCCACTGGGTGCTGAAAGCCGTAGCCTTATATGGAATAATTGGGGCGGTAATTATGCAGATATGCAATTCTCACAAATGCACGCTCACAAACCCACAGGTGGACTGTATCAGTTTTATTAGGATCATTTACTAAAGTTGAGCATGTTAATCTGATATGGCCAATTGTGGGAGAAAAAGTAAGAAAAGTTTACGCAAGAATACAAAAATGTTGTCGCATGAGGCCCAACGAACCCCAAAACAACTTTAGTCCAGTTAAAGTTCAGACCTCAGCCTGATTGAAACTTTCAAAGATTTTTCCAAGGACAAAAGTCTGTAAACATCAATAAAATGAAACCACAGTAAAAAGAAGATTGGTTTAAAATGTCCCCCCAGCTGATAAAAGTCATACAGAGAAAACCACCTGAGAGTTACTAGTGTCACAGTCTTGGTTTTCCATTTGTTGTCCTCTGCTGCCCTCTTGTGTCCTCTTTCCCTAGCTCTGTTTTCTGCTCTGTCCTCACCTGTTTTCAATCCTCTTGTTAGCCCTCTCTTTGTCTCTGTCCCCTTTAAAGGCCCTCCCTCTTCAGTTCCTGTTTGCTGGATCCTCGTCTAACGTCTGTCTGCTTACCTTGTCTCTCCCTGGCTCCTAGAGTTTGGTTTTCCCCTGATGTCTCCTTGGTTCTGGTTCGTTGTTATTTCTGTTGGATTTTTTGATTCCTGCCTCAGTTCCTGTGAACCTCATTAAACCCACCTAAATTCACCTCTGCCTACTTGCCTCTGCATTTGGGTCCTCAAACCAACACCAAATCCTGACAACCAGAGAAGAAAGTTACCCGATATACACAGAGAAAATAGAAACAGCAATTTGAAGAAAAAAAAAAAAGGGGTGATTCTATGTTTATTTTTTTTTTTATTGAAAATGATGAAACACTTTTTTCTGCATTGAAAATGCCTCTTTCAAACCATCCCATAAGAAACTCTGTTAACCTAACACTTCCTGCTTTAACATGTCTGACCACCTGCAGAGGCACATGGATGAAGACTGCAACATTTTGTGTTTGCATGGCTCAGTGTTTAAATGTGAGATCAGGCCAGCAGACACACTGTGTAAATGCCACCAGGTCATCTATGAGATCATACCTGGCCAGCGAAGAAGCCACACACACCGATGATGCAGAGAATGTTGAAGACGGCCGAGCCTACGATTGTCCCAACACCCACGTCACCTTTGGTGATGAACACGCCTGGGGAAGAAACAAACAAAAAATCATGGAAGGAGAAAAAAATCTTCACAGGCTGGAGTCCTCTATTTCATATTACCGACACAGCAAGTAAAGAAGTTCAACAAATTCTTGTTAATTTTTGTTATAGTGTCTAGAAATAGATATTGGTGGTTTCTTGCAAAAAGAAAGTTCTAACAAGAATTTAGGGTTATAGTGAGTAGAAATATTCAATAATAAGAACCAGTATGCTTACACAGAGGAAGCAGGAAATTAAGCATAGACAGAGGACCAGGGAAAGAAATGGGAATGAAAAGCAAGGAAATCAGTAATAAGGAAAATGACAACTATGAAACTTGCTTATCTGTGTGTTCAGCACTTTATCACTAAAATAAAAAAAAAGCAATTAATTCTGATTGTGCACCATGGGCACCATGGAAGATGAGGAACAGCAGAGACCAATGTCGACATCTCAAGTCTCCCTGAAGTTCTGGGAGTCTCCTCGATATAGATAATTGATAAATCATCCCGGATTTTATGTTAGGTGGTGTTTCTTTAATGCGATTGAGAGTGTGCAGGCAATACAATAATTCGTGCACCATGTGCGGATTAGAACTACTTCGATTGCGTAAGAGTAATATAGGGAGGGAACCTAACAGAAAATATTTTAAGATACAGAAAAAACTGAGAAGAAATTTGACAATGAGATGACCTAAAATACATAACATAAATAGGGAGAGAAAATGAAGACATTTGCAGAAACCCAAAAACTTAAACACCCAAAGCTGACAAGAATAACGATAAAGATGTTATAGTTAGAGGGACTTATATTTGGGTATTGCTTTTCTTCTGTGCTTCAATTGCCTTGTTTTTTGTTTCATATTTTTGTTTTTTGTGTATTTTAATATAAAGGAAATAATGGAGTGACAACATGTGCAGAGGATTCAGCGGATTCTGGACTACAGGTGCTGGTCATAAAATTAGAATATCATGAAAAAGTAGATTGATTTCAGTAATTCCATTTAAAAAGTGAAACTTGTATATTATATTCATACATTACATACAAACTCATATATTTCAGATGTTTATTTTGTTTAATTTTGATGATTACAAATGACAACAAATGAAAATCTCAAATTCATCATATCAGAAAATTAGAATATTACTGAAGACCAATAAAAACAAAGGATTTATAGAAATGTTGGCCAACTGAAAAGTATGAACATGAAAAGTATGAGCATGTACAGCACTCAGTATTTAGTTGGGCCTCCTTTGGCCTGTATTACTGCAGCAATGCGGCGTGGCATGGAGTCGATCAGTCTGTGGCACTGCTCAGGTGTTATGATAGCCCAGGTTGCTCTAATAGTGGCTTTTAGCTCTTCTGAATTGTTGGGTCTGGTGTATTGCATCTTCTTCTTCACAATACCCCATAGATTTTCTATGGGGTTAAGGTCAGGAGAGTTTGCTGGCCAATTAAGAACAGGGATACCATGGTCCTTCAACCAGGTACTGGTAGCTTTGGCACTGTGCAGGTGCCAAGTCCTGTTGGAAAATGAAATCTGCATCTCCAAAAAGTTGGTCAGCTGCAGGAAGCATGAAGTGCTCTAAAACTTCCTGGTATGTGGCTGCGTTGACCCTGGACCTCAGAAAACACAATGGACCAACACCAGCAGATGACATGGCACCCCAAACCATCACTGACTGTGGAAACTTTACACTGGACTTCAAGCAACGTGGATGAAGTGCCTCTCTTCTTTTCCTCCAGACTCTGGGACCTTGATTTCCAAAGGAAATGCAAAATTTACTTTCATCAGAGAACATGACTTTGGACCACTCACCAGCAGTCCAGTCCTGTTTCTCTTTAGCCCAGGCAAGACGCTTCTGACGCTGTCTGTGGTTCAAGAGTGGCTTGACACAAGGAATGCGACAGCAGAAACCCATGTCTTTCATACGTCTGTGTGTGGTGGTTCTTGAAGCACTCACTCCAGCTGCAGTCCACTCTTTGTGAATCTCCCCCACATTTTTGAATGGGTTTTGTTTCACAATCCTCTCCAGGGTGCGGTTATCTCTCTTGCTTGTACACTTTTTTCGACCACATCTTTTCCTTCCCTTCGCCTCTCTATTAATGTGCTTGGACACTGAGCTCTGTGAACAGCCAGCCTCTTTAGCGATGACCTTTTGTGTCTTGCCCTCCTTGTGCAAGGTGTCGATGGTCGTCTTTTGGACAACTGTCAAGTCAGCAGTCTTCCCCATGATTGTGTAGCCTATAGAACTAGACTGAAAGACCATTTAAAGGCTTTTGCAGGTGGTTTGAGTTAATTAGCTGATTAGAGTGTGGCACCAGGGGCCATCAATTTTGAACCTTTTCACAATATTCTAATTTTCTGATATGATGAATTTGAGATTTTCATTTGTTGTCATTTGTAATCATCAAAATTAAACAAAATAAACATCTGAAATATATGAGTTTGTATGTAATGTATGAATATAATATACAAGTTTCACTTTTTAAATGGAATTACTGAAATCAATCTACTTTTTCATGATATTCTAATTTTATGACCAGCACCTGTATATTACTATATTATAATTAAAAAACACAGAAGAACAGTTCTTCCTAATCCCTTAAACAGCTTATTTGTACACTTTTATATGTAGACAGCATTCTACCAAATGTCCACACAAGCAATAAATACTTCTACGAGCAGCTTTCCATCATAGACGTTCATAAACTGCTCCTCATACGCATGTTTCACATGTTACATCCGCAAACGGATTACAACGGGGCCCCTTTTGTCACTTTTAAGAAGTTACCCACTGGACAAAGCACGCCGCCTGTGATTGGCTACTTTCAGGATTCTTGAGGCTTCTCACATAGAGTTGGAAGTTGATAAGCAAAGTCATCATTTTATATAACATTGTCTGAATGAATACTAGATTAGCCACTCGTACTTCTCCACATTAAGGAAAATAAAACACCAACAGGGATGCGCCGTTAAATAATGTGCTGTCATGGCAAGGCATATAATAGGAAAACACCAGACTAAATTAAACAGACCTTAAGTCAGTCTGGGAAGACTCAGACTCTCTGGTCTTAAACAGACTGGACCAATCACATAGAAGGAGTTGGGAGTTCATGTTTGGACCAGATTTACACGTGGTGCAAAAACACTTCTCTTTAACCATAACAGTTAAGATCAAAGCTGCAAAAAAGGGTTTTAATGAGCTTATTTTTTGATGCGTCAAATGAGCTGGATATATCTTCAGAACTCAACTGCCTGCTTTAAGAGCTTTCCATTCTAAAGCCCAACATTTTTGCATCTGATCCATATTTATCTGATTGGTTCTAACATGTTTTCACTGACTGTTGATCCCGCCACTCCTTTCCAGACTGAGGCAGCATGTTTTCGTTCTATCAGTCTTGCTGGTCAGGCTCGTCTTAATGTGTCTCTGAAGATTCAGGTGTGAGTCCGACACTACGCCCAGATTTACAGCCTGACTGGTGATTCCTAAATGGATTAATGCTAACTTTTGAACAATATTCTTTGGTCCAAAACGTATTACTTTTGTTTTTATTCAGCTAAAGACAAATTTGTCCAATCCATGTGTGGATTTCTTTTATTTATTTATTTATTGTACATTGTAATATACACCTCTGTGTCATCTGCATAGGTATGGTAACATATCTTGTTGTTTATTACAGTCTCCGTTACGCGGTTAGATATTGGAGATGTAGATAGTGAATAGGAGGGGACCTAAGATTGACACTTGGGGTATGCCATATATGATTATTTTGGTCTCTGATTTAAAATTCCCTGACACAAAAAAGTCCCCGTCCCTCAAGTAGGATTTAAACCAGTCTAGTGCTGGAGCAGAAAGGCTGAGTTTTTGAGGTGCTTAAAGGAGAAGTTCGGTTTTTTACACTTTAAGCCCATTTTCTGTAGTGTCCAGGATGAAATCGAATGATCGACACCAAAATTTTGACAATTGCTCCTGTCTCTGCTTTTTGGCTCATTTAGAATCACCCCCTGGATGCTTTAGAATGGCTAGCATAGAGCATGTCCGATAATGTCCTTAAAACAACCTTAAACGTTCTTTTTTTAAAATATGCTACTCACCGGGTCGTCAGCGCTGTTCAATGACGTTCCAAAAAAAGTTTCGTAAAGAAAAAACGTTCCTGTAGTGTTTTATTTAGCATTTTGTAAATCCCATTGAGTTCTGTAGGAATAGTCAATATTCCGCTGCCACCGGAAACGGAAATGGGGCCTGTTTACACAGTTGTAGTCTTTTCGCTTCACTCTGTGTACTCCGACGTCGAGGTGCTAACGTCTCTGTTAAACACTTTAAAAAACTCTGAAAATGGAATACGAAAGGTGGATTCTTGATTCTCGACGTCAGAGTACACAGAGTGAAGCGAAAAGACTACAACTGTGTAAACAGGCCCCATTTCCGTTTCCGGTGGCAGCGGAATATTGACTATTCCTACAGAACTCAATGGGATTTACAAAATGCTAAATAAAACACTACAGGAACGTTTTTTCTTCACGAAACTTTTTTTGGAACGTCATTGAACAGCGCTGACGCCACGGTGAGTAGCATATTTTTAAAAAAGAACGTTTAAGGTTGTTTTAAGGACATTATCGGACATGCTCTATGCTAGCCATTCTAAAGCAGCCAGGGGTTGATTCTAAATGAGCCAAAAAGCAGAGACAGGAGCAATTGTCAAACTTTTGGTGTCGATCATTCGATTTCATCCTGGACACTACAGAAAATGGGCTTAAAGTGTAAAAAACCGAACTTCTCCTTTAAGGGTGGTTTCTGTACTGTGATAAACAGAAGTCTAAAATACATCTAAGTAGCTGATCATTAAGGAAAGCGTTTAACAGCTGAAACAGCTTGTTTTAATAATCTCACAGATAGAGGAGAGGTCTGAGCCGTAGTTCTGCGGTAGCAGCTCGTGCTAAATGCTTTTTTTAACAGCATTTTACTAATCGCCATTTTTCAGACATTCGGGAAAGAGGTATATTGAGTATTTGAGTTGAATTAGACGTTTATGACAGGCAGAACATTTGCTAAGGTAAGTTAGGGGTAAAACATCCAGAAGGCAGTGGCAAGAGGTGAGCTGATTTATGATTTTTTTTCTATGACTTTGACATTTATATGGTGAAACAGGAAAAACTTCTGAAAATCAGTTTGAGTTTAAAACAACATTAGAACTTGACTTGATATGAATGTTCAGACTGTCCCTGGTCCCTGCCTGACCCTAACCCTCCATCATTGTATCTGTGGAAATCCATCACTTCCTTCACTGATCACCACATTACGCTGTAACCACAGTCATCACAAAGATACACTGAGAGACAATCATTAATAACACAAATGTTATATTGATATATTTATAGCACTGCAGGTGATGAGTGGTGACAAAGGTTTTCCAGAGCAATCCAGCAGGTTCTGCTGTAATAACACTGTTTCTGAGTGTGACGCATCAGGCTTAGAAACTTCACACCATCAGTAACACTCCAGAGCTAATTATATAATTACGTCAATAAAGATTTCAAGTGTTGATGACACAATATTGACATTTTCTGGTATTTTATGTAGACCACGTTAATGCTGATGATCAATGTAATGACCATTCAAAGGATTCTAGCGTCAGGAATCAATGTTAGGGTCTCTGGGGTTTTATAAGGAGGAGAAAGATCGCCTATCTTCACTTGATTACCCCAATGATATTCCTGGGGTTCAGTTTGCAAAGCCTGCTGAGTCAAACCCCTACAGATCCATGCTAGCTTCCCTTCATCTCTCAAACCAACCAGAAAGTTCAACTGACTTTCTGCAGGGCTCTTCCTTGTTTCCAGATTCTTGTTGCTTTTGGAAATAAAACATTCAAATTCACTGGTTCTCCATATGGGTCAACACTAGGGGTGGAACGGTTCACAAAATCCACGGTTCGGTTCGGTTCAGTTCACGGTTTCGTGGTCACGGTTTTCGGTTCGGTATATGTTGATTGTTAGGAAAATCTATTATGTCTTGTATAGTCAGGACAAAACTGAAAGAAAAAAGCAGTCTGACATTTGATACATCACTGTGACAGTCTTAGGTTAAAAGTAGGTGAGATTTTGGCATTGCAAGAGAGGAGACAGTGCTGGTACAACATGTGCTTAATTTATTTGGCAAACAATTTGCCAACGGTCCCACTGGGATGATGTCTCCGCAGGTGAGCTGACATGTTGGTCATGTTGCTGTTAGCATAAACAAAACGTGTTGCACAATGCTTGCACACTGTTGCACTTTTATCCACAACTTTCTTTCCGCCGTCATCATAGGTCACTCTAAATGCAAAGCGCTCCCATACAGCAGACCTATAAAGTGCTGCTGGCGCGTCTTCCAACTCCTGTTCTTTCCTACTCGCCATACCCACACAATTCTCCACAACAACTGATTTTTTTCTGCTACACCTGGCTAAGCTGCGTCGCTTCTTCTTCTTCTTGTTTACTACTGGTGGTTGGCTTTGGTCGCAGTACCGCCACCTTCTGCTCTGGAGTGTACACGCTTCGCCTATGAGAAAATGGAGCAGCGCATGAACCGAACGCAACACACGCGAATCGTGTGTTTTAAACGTTTGTGGTTTAAAGTCGTAGGGAAACGGCTGTTCCAAACGTTGCATTTCCGAATTCTCCCACTATGAACAGCGGTAACATGCAAGATGAGGAGAGTTTTGTGTCGGAGGTCGTGGAAGTGTTTCCTCCGTCATACATTTTTTATTTAAAGGAGTAAAGCGGTGACGAAGATGTTGTGGAAGAGGACGCCAGGGCGGCAGAAGCTTGGTTTGGTGTAGAAGGCTTACAGCCGTACATGTTTGAGCCCTTGCCTCGCAACGCTGCCAGTTCTGTTAGCTCTACGCCTGCCAAAGACACAGACGTCCATCCCCGTGAACACTGGGAAAGGAAATTATTCTTATTTCAACCATTGCGTATATCAGCTGCGACATATGAATCAAGATCAATGACAAATTTGATTGACAGATGACCGTTGATATAATATTGGCCGAATTTCGGTGTTCAGGCTGACCTAAAACTAACTGGCCTGCATAAGAGAATAAAAAAAACAACACAGATTTTAAGACAGGATTTTTTTACTTTTTTAAATAGAAATTTTCAAAATTTTGGGACAATATGGTCTGATAAAGAGCACATTTATATACATGTTTAAGCAAGAATGATTTCAATATGATGGAGATATCCCTACGACTTTAAACAGAAGGTACAAAGGAGTTGATGCTGTTTTTTTTTGGGGGGGGGGGGGGGGGGTTTATCGAGTTTGGGGGGTTTCACATTGCTTTTAGACTACCTGAGCTTAAACTGGCTGATGGTTCAACCACACAAACCAATTCCAAACTAGATGTTCTGGTGCAAACATCAATGTTTACATCCATTTCTGTTACAGCATGTTGAGCTAGCACCAACAGTGTTCTCCCTCTGAAGTCAACAAACAGAGATGGGTTTTTACTAGCTATAAATGAGAGTGCTGCTATGGAGCTACTAAATATGTCATGGTTTTGGTTTTGTTCACGTTTTATTTTGAGTTTTCATTGGTGTTATTTTGATCTTTGTGTTCTAGGTATTTTGATTGTATTTGAGTTCTTGGATATTTCCTTTCTGCCCTCTTGTGTCATTCTCCTTTTCCCTAGCTCCCTTCTTGCCTCCACTGTTCACACCTGCTCCCATTCTGCTAATTAGCCTGGTCTATGTTTCTCTCTCCCATATATTCTCCTCTCTTTTTCACTCTTTGCTGGTTTGTCATCATGACTTTGTCCCCTTCTTGTTGTGAGTATTCATGGTTTTGAGCATTTTTGTGGATTTATATTTTTTTATTTTTGCTTCTATTACCCTTTTTATTATTAAACATTCAACTAACCACCTCAAGCTTGTGTCTGCATTTGAATCCTGTCAAACCTCCACCCCCACTGTGACAGTGCAAACCAGCCAGAAATGGACCCAGCAGACTTGGACTTAGTTTTCGTGACAAAATGTAGGATATTTGTCCCTGTTAAATTCACAATAATAACTCTGAATAACTTGTTATGTCCTGCTGCATAATTTTAATGCAAAATTGTATGAAATTAATATCACGTCATCAACACTATAAAGTAATGTGTATTGTGGAGTGTGTTTGCAGTCCATGAAGGTTTGGATCTGTCGTTACCGATAATGGAGGTGAAGAGCTCTGGAGCCGAGCTGCCAGCTGCCATGAAGGTAGCTCCTGCCACATCCTCACTCAGATCGAGCCGCTGAGGGAAAACAGAGCAAATAAGAGACTTTAGGAAGCAGTAGCTACAGCTGAGCACCTAACTCCAACTGAAACATAATCACATGTCATCAGTTTTCATTATGGGTTTTTTTTTCAATCACGCTGGAAGCTGAACAAAGCTAGGTGGTGGGACTTCAACTCTTCTGCATTTAAACCATCAAGAATTTGTTGATAAATTTCTCCTTATTAAACAGGTGTAAGGCAAATGTTCTGTCACCTCTATAATGGGTTTTTTCTAAATGAGTTGTGATATAATAGTAAGTTGTATCAGGTGCAGGTGAGAAACCAGCATCCACACTATTTAGCAGTACAGTGACTTAGACTACCCAAAAGGCAATGTGGGATTTACAGGGATTAAAGCAAAAGAAAGTCCTGAGTGTGAACTTTTTCGACACAGGCAAAGGCCATGTCAGGAGGGTGTGGGATCAGAGATTGCATGAATGATTGAAGACTAAATTTGACTTTTGAAAATCCAATACCAAAACAAAAAAGAGTACATTTGGTCCCACTTTGAATTAGTTGTGGGACCAAATGAACTCTCAAAGTGTTACTTTACCACTGCAACATTTACTGCACAAAAGATGGCAAAAGTGCATCTATATCTAGTATGAATGAGAGTTTGTGTTCGGCGAGGAAAGCACACACCCTAATTTTAACTTGCATACATTGTCAGTTATCGATGCTGGTATATCAGCTGTTGCCGTAGCTACCGGCAAATGTGTAGTGTGTGCGGCCACACGAACAGCAGCTTAATGGGTCTAATTCCTGTTTGCTTAGCACCTTTTTGGTGCTGGATGCGTAAATAAGCTTCCTTGAGCACAGCGTGCTGGACTTTATGAACTGCATTGTACCCACTCCATGCAATTTCGTCCTTCTGTCCAAACACAGAGTTTAATTTATCTATTTTTTTACTTTTAAAACGTCTCTCCGTTGAATGGAGCCATAAATGGCTCAAGGTGTAGAACTTCAGCAATGTACCACAAAATATCTGGTGACTCGAACAAGAAACGAGAAGATGAAGTACAAGCTTTCCTAAGACCCGCCCCCTTCTTCTTCTGATTAGTTAATACTGTTTGTTTCAGAGGTCTCCTTTGCTACCATTGGCTGACAAAGGCAAGAGGGTTTTCGATTGTCTTTTTAAAATTTATTCACCATCAATTTATTTTCGAGTGATTCACTACAAGACGGAAGTCCACCCTGGGGTCAGAATACTTTAATCCCTGGATTTAACTGAGCCTTCAGTTTCAAACGAAGAGCAGACGTACTTATCTCCAAGGCTCTACTTTATTTGTATAAAAAATTATGTAAAACTGAATTCATATGATGGGATTTAGAGGATATATATCAAGCCAATCATGATACACCATATACCCAACATGAGAAAATTGTTTGTGGGGTATTTTAGAGAGAGTTCCTTCAGTTATTTCTGTCATGAATAATGATGAATGTAATTGTGGTGAAACAATGTCATATGACGATATTGAAAATTAAGGAATGTTTAACTTTGGTTTTGCACCGTATTACTGCACCATTGCCGCCCCATCCATTGTCAGCTACTGATGTGCTGAGAAGTTTAGAGCCTTTTAAACAAATAAATATTTCATGTTCAATAATTTAACAGTGAACACACTCATAGATCCCAGCAGGAATATCAACTCTGAACACTTTGCACAAATATACAGTTGCCCTGGAAACAAAGTCCCACTGACTTCCGTTCAGATGTGTCATTCAACTGGTTATTAGATGATGTGTAATTACAAAAGTTGTGAAAATAATTTATGAAGGTTGAAAACATACTTAGTGTTAGTTTAAAAAACATAGATCATAGGTCTGAGCTTTAATGTTAAGCAAAAACAAAACTCAGATCATTGAGACGAGATCAGTAATTTCTTTTGAACACTAAGGTGCAATTTTCAAAAACATTCAAAAGATCTTTCACAGTTTTCCTTTAAGAAATTGTTTTTATGTTTTCATAGCTCTTAAAAAACAAAACATAAGAAAACAGTCTCTTAAGATCCCCCTTAAAAATTCTGGCAGCAATAAGATTTGGCCAAAATTCTAATTAGTTTTTCAGTTTCTCAGCATTTTAAACACATGATCACCTTGTTCAGCTTATTGCAGAGAAATGACAAGGTGTTGATGTTTCATACCTCACAGATCTTCTCCAGGGAAGGGACGAAGTAGTCATCACAGACCAGCGCCAGAGCGCAGAACATGTAGACAGTCTGTGAAAAGAGATAAATATTACAGGAAGAAGTGAGGCGTGAGGATCCAGTGAGATGGAAGGCATCCACGTGAAGCAGGGGTGATAACTCTCATCGAAGACATGCCTCAATTGCACTGATTACAATCCATCTGTGAAACCCTCTGATTCATTATGCACACCCTTTATAATTACCCACAACCTTTACTTCCCTGAATGCCATGTTAAAGTAGACCTCTCACTGTTACAGTGAGAACACGGTTAGTTAGAATTGTTGATCTGATCTCATATCGGTTAAAACAACTTAATAAAGCTTTCAAACTTAAGGAGATAAATAATACACAATGTTTATGTTTTCAATTGATATAGCGCCAAATTACAACACGTCATCGCAAGGCACTTTACAGTTCACCAGATCATCCAGTCAAACTGATTCAGAGTTTTCTGTCTAAGGAAAACCAGTGTTTGAAACGACTCATTGACTAGAAGGCAATCCCTCAAACTAAGCATGATTGTAGCGACAGTGGAGAGAAAAAAGAGGTTTAAGGATCCATCCATCCATCCATCCTTCCATCCATCCATCCATCCATCCATCCATCTATCCATCTATCCATCCATCCATCTATCCATCCATCTATTCATCCATCCATCCATCCATCCATCATCCATCCACCCATCCATCCATCCATACATCCATCATCCATCATCCATCCACCCATCATCCATCCATCCATCCATCCATCCATCCATCCATCATCCATTTAAGTGTCCTTCCATCCTGTGCCTCCGTCCGTAAATCCATCTAGGCATCCAGCTATCATCCAGTTATCCATCCTTCCATCCTCTCATTCATCCATCCGCCCGTCCGTCCATCCATCCATCCATCCATCCATCCATCCATCCATCCATCATCCATCCACCCATCCATCCATCCATCCATCCATCATCCATCCACCCATCATCCATCCATCCATCCATTCATGCATCCATCATCCATCCATCCATCCATCATCCATTTAAGTGTCCATCCATCCATCCATCCGTCCATCGATCCATCCATCCATCCATCCATCCATCCATCGATCCATCCATCCATCATCCATTTAAGTGTCCATCCATCCATCCATCCATCGATCCATCCATCCATCCATCCATCATCCATTTAAGGGTCCATCCATCCATCCATCCGTCCATCGATCCATCCATCCATCCATCCATCCATCATCCATTTAAGTGTCCATCCATCCATCCATCCATCGATCCATCCATCCATCCATCCATCCATCCATCCATCCATCATCCATTTAAGGGTCCATCCATCCTGTGCCTCCGTCCGTAAATCCATCTAGGCATCCAGCTATCATCCAGTTATCCATCCTTCCATCCTCTCATTCATCCATCCGCCCGTCCGTCCATCCATCCATCCATCCATCATCCATCCACCCATCCATCCATCCATCCATCCATCCATCATCCATCCACCCATCATCCATCCATCCATCCATTCATGCATCCATCATCCATCCACCCATCCATCCATCCATCCATCCATCCATCCATCCATCCATCCATCTGTCCATCCATCCATCCGTCCATCCAGCAAGAAATATGAACAACCAAGAAGTCTCAGTAAGTTTCCATAAACATTGAACTAATAAATGTTTTCAAAGTCTTGCTTGTTGAAAGCCTGAGAACAGAAGGGAACGTTTCTAATTGTGTTTAGTAATGAGTCACGACTCAGTGAGAAATGAAGAGTCATCTGTTTTTGAAAACACATCTGAATCTCTCACCAACTGGGGAAAAGCATATCTGAGCCAAACAGATGGAAAACAACTAAAGGAGTGTGCCACAACATCGAGGAAAAGGGGCCATTCAGGTGGAGATCTGTCAGTTTATGCAGCTAAATATGGAGTTTGTTACAAGCAAATAACACTGTTTCTTTAAATCAGCATATTATCAAAAATAGTTAGCCCTTCATCTGATGAAAAGATCCACTTGATACAAGAGAAAACTCAGGTTTTTAACCTGAGTTTTCTCCTTTTAAATTATTCACCAAATATAGAAAGCCCAACTGAGAAGCCTCTTTCTTTTTATCTTCAAACCCTATTATAAAAAACAAATTTTAACTGTAACAAGGACACTGGTGTCCTTCCAGAATACATCTCTCACTTCTAAGCGTTGTAGTTGTTACTTTAAGTTTAAATCCCTTTTTTTCCCAGTGTATATCATGCGGCGCAAGGTTGCATTTCTGGACTTAATAAAAATTTTGTCTGACAGGATCCCCTGCATGATGTGGCTCCCTCAAGGTGGATGTCCTGCGTTAAAAACAGACTGCAGGACACGTGTTAAAGCAGCATAACCAAAACCTAACCAATCTTGTACCAAACAAAAGAGTCTATTTGCCTCCTAAAACTCAGATAAAAAACTTCTAACCTCCCTGACGGACCAATCACTGCATAAATCACCCTCTATGTCTGCTATGGTTCCCACTGGACAAAATTTAAATGACGCCCTTAGATTACATTAGAAAAAATATTATGCTTTATATTTGATTCATGTCTTTTTCACAGCCAATGGTTTAAACATGTTACCTCAGTCTGTTATACATTCATACACAATTAAACATGCCTTTAATAAAGTTCTGTATGGTAACAGTGGGACTTTTAGATTAAGCTGCATTTTCTATTTTTAGGTATATGTAAAAACTATATGATGATCGGAGTATTTTAATACGCAAATAATAGCACAGGGCTTTTTTATCCACCAATGAAGGTTTAAAGAACAGCATTTTATTAAGTTTCTGTGTGACATTTTCGTGTGAGAGAGCTACTGGAGAAAGCTGAGAATCAGAAGTTTTTATTCCACACTTTGCCCACAAAATATGACAGAGAACCAGGTGGTTTAACCTCTTTACTGTCTTCAAAATACTTAATTATATAATTTTTAGTCTTAATTGACTAATAACAAATCGATAACCAGCTTTAGTGATGTACACGTGATTTTTCCCTACTAAGTTTGGAGTGAAAAAGCACATAGATAAAACTGCTTTAGCTCTGTATTTATATATAAATCTATTTATATATTTCTTAAAAACTGCTCCATTCTACTAGCCTGAGTGCCATTCCGAACTTAGTCCCGCCCACAACGTTTGAGGTCGGGAAGTTCGGACTGGCATTGCTCAGTAGTAGCACGAGTATGCTCGCACAATATCTGGCGGGCCAATCAAATTGTCAGGGCGGGCTTTATACAATGATGGACAGATGATCAACAGTAATGTAATCAACCACGTGACCTAAGCGCGCTTGGGTGACAACAACAATGGCTGCCGCTGGAGAGTTGAGGTGTGTAGATTCTGCTATTAGGTCTGTTCTAGAAGATATCGACAGCAAATTAATTTTAAAAGAGGAACAGAGAAACGCGATCAAGGCTCATCTTCTTATTCTAGGCGTGCAACTGCACGCTTTGATTTTTGTTGACAACAACTATGCGTCGCTTAACATACGTCACGCTCTCCGTTGCTCTTATTGGTTGTAGGTCTATCCAATTGAGTGCAGAGGCATTTTTTTTCCTGGTTCGTTCGAAACACGCCCCATAATCACAGCTCTATGGAGCAGTATCAGACTCATATTCTGACTAGAATTGAGTAGGACTACGTTAGGCTACCATTCTACATGATCTGTAACTAAAATTTTTAAGAGGATCTGTGATTGGCTCGATGAGCCAAATGCAGGTTTGGAGGTTGCTGATCCGTAAAAATACTTACATCATGCACACTTTACATTTTGCACTTAATGTCCCATACTCTGTTCATTGAGTAACTGAATGTTTGGTGAGAAGATGCTAGAAGAAATGTCATTCGTACGATCGTTCATCAGCTAACATAAAATAAAGCAACAATTATATATACATATATTACATAAATAGGGAGAGAGATACATTTGTTTCCTGCAGGTTTTGTGAAAACAATGACTTCTTCTATCATTCGGTCTTAAGTGGTTATCATTAGTGGACTTACACAGAGCACATGTAGGGCCACAGCTCCCTCAGTTCTCGCTTTGTTTGTGAACAAGTCGGTTGGAAACTCATGGAGAGCTGTAAGAGAGAGAAACCTGCCGTTAGAACAGATCAGCGTTCGCTAGCACAGAGGTAAGCCCTGGGAGGAGAAGAACCCACTGAACTCATGGGCAATGACAGAAAGCCCCGCCAGGATAAAAGCTCTGGGAGCGGTCATCTATGGAGCAAGCTCCCTAACAGGTTGGGTGGTGAGGAAGAAAGGAATGGTTGGAGAATACAGAATAATTGTGGTTATTTTGAGTGAGCATGATAGGAGAGGGAAAAACTAAAATACTGAGTGACATAAAGGAGGGTCTGTTGCAGGGCAGCCTCAGTCCTAAGGACAATTTAACACACCAATAACCCAACAGTTATTCTTAAAAACTCGATCTGATTCCAACTCTAAAAATTTATAATCAATTCTTTTCAATCTAGTAAGATCTAACATTTGATTGCTGGCATTAAAAACACTGTAGTTATGTAACATGTTGATGCTTTTATTATATTAAGATTCATCAGCAAATCAATGGTGGTTATTAGCGGCTGTAAAGACATTGGAACATTGCAGGTTTCTCACCAGGATTTGTTCTGAGTGGATTATGCAAAAATACCCTATTTGGATCAATCTTTAGGTATTTATACGACAAATCAAATAAGAATTGGAAAAGGTAAAAGACCCAGAGAGGACCTATATATGCACATGCAAACTGTATCCAAGGACCTCTTTGCTGCAAGGCAACAGCCTTTCTGTAACATATAAAAGGTAAGGCAGCACTTTGGGCATGAAAAAAAGTTTCTAACAGATTAATATTGCAGGAGAGAAAGTTGGAAGTACTTCTCCCTGCGAAAACCGTTTCACAAGGATCCAAACATTATCAAGGCATCTAGATCATGTATGTTCATGTATTCTGTTTCTTTTTTTCATACATATCCTCCACCTTCTCTGAGTGCCAATGAACATGTGGCTCTTTCTGAATCATTTAAGTTTATCTTTGGACACACCTTCTCTGTCAACAATGGGTGGTGAGGTTGCTCAAGGACCCAGATGCAGAGATGAGGGAAGCAGAGATGAGTTCTGAGAGGTTTAATTGCAGACAATAGGTAGCAGAGGCAGAAGTCCAACTTAAAATATTAAACAAACCAAAACCATGGAAACATCAGGAGAAAAAACGAGTCTGAGGAGCCAGGGAGAGACGAGCTGAGTAGACAATAAAGCAACAAGAAGGAACCAGCATTGAGTGTCTGCAAGGTGGAGTATTTAAGGAGAACCAAACAAAAGGTTGGACTAACGAGCTGAATGTAGAGCAGGTGTGGTTGGAACTGGCAAGAGGGAATCCAAGGGGAAAGAAAACACAAGGGGGCAACAGAGAGTAACTAAAGAATGCTAGAATATCATGGAAAATAAAAACAAAACAACTGATAACAGAAAACTGAAAACTCAGAGTCACAACAAATAAGAACCATAACATTCTCATTCAAAGAGTTTTGCCAATTTTTCGGACTGACTGACCTTCATTTCTTAAAGTAATGATGGCCACTCGTTTTTCTTTACTTAGCTGCTTTTTTCTTGCCATAAAACAAATGAACAGTCTATTCAGTAGGACTATCAGCTGTTTATCAACCTGACTTTTGCACATCATAACTCATGGTCCCAACCCCATTTATAAGGCAAGAAATCCCACTTATTAAACTTGACAGGGGGCACATGTGAAGTGAAAATCATTTCAGGTGACGACCTCTGGAAGCTCATCTAGAGAACGCCAAGAGTTTTCAAAGCAGTGATCAAAGCAAAAGGTTGCCACTTTGAAGAACCTAGAATATAAGACATATTTTCAATTGTTTCACACTTTTTGTTTGAGTATATAATTTTGCGTGTTAATTCATAGTTTTGATGCCTTCGGTGTGAATCTACAATTTTCATAGACGTGAAAATAAAGAAAACTCTCTGAATTCTTTGAAGGTGTGTCCAAACTTTTGTTCTATACTGTATATATTTACAGTGAGTTTTGTTCTATTATTATTTGCAAGCAAAGAACATGTTTTGTAAATGGAAATCTGAAAAATATGCAATGCAGAAATTAAACTTTGAGCTTTTTAATAAATAAAAAGGTTTGAGAGTAACCTTGCTGTTCCTTTCATATTTTGTTTTTTTATTTTTAAATGTATTTTCTTGTTTTATTGTTGACTTATTTTTCAGATATCTCTTTTTCAGATCGAGTTCCATGAACTGTAATCTTTTAAAACTGTGCTTTAAAGCTTCCATTCTCTTCACTTAAAGCCTGATAGAAATGTTGCTGCTAACGTCTGCAGACCAATAAAAAAGCATCACCTGAGGATATCCCTCTCCAGAAGGGAGGAAATGTGATCTGTAAAATGTGTAGAATGCAATTTGTAAAATTCGCTCTGGAAAAAAATAAGTTGAAAAAATAAAATCTGAAAATTAATTACATTTTTATAAAAGAAAAAATATAATTTCAAAAACAAAGTAAAGGAAAAATAAATAAAAAAAATCTGAGAAAACAGCTAAGTTTACTTTTAATAGTTTGTAAAACTCAATTTATAAAATATCAATTTAGAGATATACATTTAAACATTAACATTTGTTAAACAAATGTGAAAAAATAGAATTTGAACAAATTAAATATTTAAATCAAATAAACACATTTAAAAAAAAATATTTTTCCTGGAAAATGGAAAAACTGAACTTTGAAGAAGACAGTAAACCATATTTCAATTAGAATGTTTTTAAAATTTTATTTCTGAACAATTTTGAACATTTCCTTTTGTAAAACATATTCATGCTTGCAGCAAAAATACAACAAAATTCTCTCCATATAAGTGGATGTGAAGAAAATAAAGAAGCATTCTCCTTCATTTCACCTCCATTTTCATGTTTTTTTTTATTTCAACATAAACACAGAAAGAAATGCCAACAGCTTCCAAAATATATCGTCCCCGTCCTGCACCTTTATCTACTCTATTGACGTGTTTGTATCTCCACAATCTCTCTGCAGCATTCCTCTACTTTATTCTCTACTGCCATGACTAAACAACAGAGCAGCTTTTCAAAAAGCTGCACAGCAAACAGTTGTCTCAAGGTGACAGCTGCATGTGTTTAATATTTACTGCTAGGAGCCGGAGTGAGCTGGTTTAGTCTCCATCCGGCCAAGATACCAGGCTGGGAAACAAACAAACAACAAAGATTTAGGCTCAACCAGAAGCAAGGTTCAGCTTGAAAATCTGGGAAATTAACCTAAAACATTAATAAAAACACAGAAAAAACAGCTGATTAAGAGTTTAATCCCAAGGAGTTCATTATGTCTCCAAAAAGTGTGAAACCCAGAGTCCCAGCAGAGATTATAAACACTTTGAGGGAGAAGAGCCTCACAGGAAAACCAGCAAACCGTCACAAAAAGAAGGTTTCTTTATGCACTGACAGCTTCTACTTCCAGATACCTGCTGTCCTTACAGCTGAATCAGAGGCGCCGCCACTTTATATGCTCCTACATACACTCAATCAAACTGTAGCGCTTGGTCACAGCCTGGAGTTCTCTAAAACTGAGCTGACATGAGAGATTAGTGAGGTTAGATGGACTTATTTAGTTTCTCATTCAATTCTAAGAAGAATTTAAAAGCAAAAATTAAAAAAAAAATAAATAAAAGTTGGTGAAATCAGATTAGGGTGAAAAAATATCCACCCGCTGTTTTTGTTCTTTATTTCAGAGGCTCAGAATGTGGTGACGTATGCGCCATTAAACGGCCACCTCAAACATCCCGTTGCCTTAATTAGGTGATAAAAGTTTGCAGATTATGTTATCTAACAGCAACATGAAATCAGTGTTGCTTTTGAAAGCCATCTTAGATTTAGTCTTTAGGACGAAAACTATTATTAGTTTTAGTCGCATTGTAGTCATTACGATATGTGATACTCATTTTTAGTCAACTAAAACTTAAAATCCTTTAGTCTAGTTTTAGTCAGTTTTATGCTGCAAAAGAAAGTTAACCTTTACAATTTCGAATAACAGCCAGATCCTTTACCACACTCACAGCTCTAGCCTAGATGCTACAGTCGCTGGGTATAGAATGCTGCCGTGCAGTTCATCATTGCTGTTGACAGAAAACTTTCATTTTTATAATTCAAATCAACTTTTTTTAATGAATTAATGCCCTACTTTACAAAAAAGTGTCTCACAAAAGCTTTGAAAATAGTAGATCTAGTTCAAAACATCATATTGGTTAATATAGCAGAGAGACAAGCTAACAAAATGTACAATAAAGGAATGGTTTTAGACCTACAAGGTTTCCATCCCAAAGCAAACATTTCCTGATCTACTATGAATAATGCATTACACACAGATCAATAAAATCTTTATTGCTCCAAAAAGCAAAGAACTAAAACATTCTTCTTTCTACTTTGGCAATTTTGGATTTATTTCTGAGAATTTGCACCTTAGTTATCGATGCTAAGGGGTCAAATATTTAAATTCAAATGGGTCTGATATAAAAAAAAATGAAAACCTACATAATTGCCTTGTACTGCCATGGCAATCCAGACCTAAAATGTTGAAATATTCAAAGGAAACATATAAAATGTTTTAATGACAATACAAGGAAACAATTACATTATATTTAAATAAATAGAAACGAGAACAACTCTGTACGTCAGTTGGTCGGCAGGATCAATGAAGACGTAGCTGCATGGCTGATACTGCTTAGCTGATTAAAGCACAATGATGCAGTTTAAACGTCTGACCGAATATTTTTTAGTCTCGTGTTGTTGACTAAATCTTAAACCTATGACTAGTCATGTTTTATTCATTAAAGGTCCTGGTTTAGCTTGTCAGAGTTTGTTATCGTCAAAAATGAGGGGTAAAGGAAATTATTCTTCATTGTCATCGTTGACTAAAACAACACTGCATGAAATGCAAACATCCTTTGCAGTCCTAAGACACATGATTAAACATGAAAATAAGAGGAACAGGATAAAAAAAAATATTTTTATTTATCAGCAAAGCTACTCTAAATGTTTTCAAGGATTA